GCATGCTACTCCCAAAAGCGCCGTGACGCAGCAAACGATCTCATGGAGGAAAGGGTCAATACCCATTTCTCCGCTTTGAACGACCTCGTTAAGCTGACGACACGTGCCGACGTTGGGAACATCGTCCTCATCATGCCATGGTACGGCAGGGGGTATGGGTTGCACCCCGATTTTGACCGTCAAATGATTCGCGAAGCTGAGGCTTTGAGGAAACGTGGACTCTGCGTCCTCGATGCCACGTCGCTTATCAAGTGTACTACACGATACGACGGCCAGCACATGGAGAATTCGGAGCACAACCGTCTCCAGTGCATTCGCTTCTATTCCGAAGCTGGCGCTCTCGGCTATCATCTTTTTCGACTTCGGTCGTGCAAGCCATTGATTGAGATGGCTGAGATGAAGAAGCGCCGCGAGGAATCGCTGGCCAACCCTCAACCTGAAAACAACCCTCAATGGGAAGAGATGGAAGAAGTGTTGGTCTCCATGGACGTGGACGGTTGGGAAATCTATGTGAAGGAGACCCGACCCAAAGGGCAACGGCTTCCCAATGAAGTTGACCCCGCACGTGCACAAGTCGCACAGGCTCCTACGGTGCAGGATGATGCCACTGTGGCCTCATCAAACTGGCAGCTTTTGGAGTCCGTAGATGCTGCACTGCCGGGGGAACCCGAGCACTTTGAACCGCATGAGGTCAAAGAGCCGGAGATGGATGGTGAGCTCATCGACGCCATCCTCAAGCCCTTTTTGGATCGGTTGCCGGGTGTTTCCGACGAGCGTGACATTGACGAGCCGGATGCTGACGAGGAGATTGTCTTCAGAGAACCCATCGTCGGCGGCTCAGCATCAATGTTTAGCCAGCGGAAGCTGCGCTCCCATCTGATGAATAAGATCCATGCTGTGGACTTCAGATTGGATGGTTCTGGCGTAGTGAACATCTTGGACACCGACGTCACGCGTGACCCTGCCAAGCTTGAACTTCGGCAGGAATCCATGCAGCAGACCGAAGAGGGTGCGGTCATCATTCGTCGCTTTGACTTGACGGATGAGGAGAAGCATCGTCAGATGGAACGGGAGATCTTTGAGGAGCCCAAGACCGCCGAGGAGAAACTTCGCGCGGGTGACCCTGCTGCCACTGTCCAGATCATGTCGAAGGCCAAGTCGAAGGCGGCTTCCTCATCCGAAGCGGCATCATCTTCGAGCGGCATCGCACAGGTGATCGGGGACACTGTCAGCCAATTCATCAAACCAAAGATGAGGGATCAGGCTACCATGATTCAGCCCAAGCCTGCTCCGCGGCTCCCAAAGGTTTCAACGGCGACGGGAACGTCTCCCATGGCGTCCCCAAAGCCCAGTCCGCCACCGACTCCGAAGAGTGCAACTGGATCCCCCAAGCCGGAGCCACCTGCACTCCCAGCGGAAGCAGCGGACCATCCAATGCCCAAAGCTTTGCCCTTTAAGGCACCGCCTGCAACGTTGACAACAACCTCACCGAGGGCACCTCCGCAGAAGTCATCGGCGCCTGCAGCTACGTCTTCGTCGGAGCCTGCCCCGAAGATGGCCAAGAAGGAGCCGCCTATGGCAAGTGCTCCTCCCCCGGGAACGGGTGGACCTCAGCCTCCGGCTGAACCGCCCTTGCGACCACAGGGATATCCCAAGTGGTACTTTTTCTCCCCGGGAACGGGCGAGCGCAGGGAATTCACCGTTCGGTGTACAGACCTGCCAGGCCTGAGGGACCTTGGAAGACTCAGTCATGATGATTTCAAATTTTCAAAGAGGGTGACCGGGCTGCTCCGTGGATATGATCACAAATTCCTCGAGGCACATCATCGCCATATTCCTCCTGAATTTGATGAGGAGCTATACTTGAACTTTGAGTCCATGTACGCGTACCTCCGAAAGCGCATCGTGCTCAGCTTTCGCGACAGGACTTGTACCTGATTCTTCGAACTCAGGACAGGTTCATGTGCCGCATTCAGGCTGGAATTGTCGGGGAACTGACAACCATGGACATGCCCTACCGCATCACCCACGTGAAGGCCTGCCAAGGCCATGACCAGTCGCTCATTGACAAGGTGGGAACGGCTCCATTGGTCAAGCAAATCATCTCGCTTGACTACCAGTTCACGGTCGAGGATTTGAAGAAGGGATTCTACCCCAGGGTTCCCATTTATCCTCACCTGGCGGAAGCCGAGGTCTCAGAGGAGTTTAAGGTTATTTACCATTACACTTCATGGGACTCCCTCCAGCAGATCATTTGCACGGGGATTTTTCCAGGGGCCACTTCATGCAAGGGTCATGCGTATATGACCCGCCATGCGCCTTGGGAAATCGAAGGCAAGGATCCTGGCGTCAGGACGAACAGACCGCTGTGCATCGCGATCGACACTGATTGTGCTCTGCACTATGGTCTTCGCCTGGTGGAAACCTTGGCCGGTGCACTCATCACTGAGGACTGGGTGCCCAATCATTGCCTCATCTACGCATTCGATTGCGAGAAGTCGCAATACCTTTGGGCGAACCATGGCTACAACGGGGTGAAGAAGTACCTTCGGCAGAAGGCCTCCGAGAACGCTCTCACTTGGCAAGAGAACGAGGCTCGGAAGGGCACTCCCAACTATGACGAACTTGAGAGGTACGAGATTTCGGACCTGGAGGTGTTGAAGAACATGTTCGTGAATGAGTACGATCAGTGGAAGGATGTCATCACTCTGCGACGTCCGCTCATTTACAAGGAAGTTCCGACACCATACCCTGTCGTCGATGAGTTGCTGCCCAAGTTCAAGCAAAGGCCGCTCAACTTCACCAATCTCCTCTGTGTGGCACGCAAGCCGACGGCAACAGCTGCTGGCTTCGACATCGCCCCTGACAACGCGCGGGAACGCCGTTCTGATCGCTTCGATCAGGAGGCATTTGACCCATCCGCGGAGGGGAACCTCACGCGCTGGCGGTATGTATCAATGCTGGCAATGCCGGAGTTGACATGCCCCCGGTGCAGGAAGATTTTTCCTGAGGGGATGTTGGTTTGCCTTGCATGCGGCTTGTCGTTGGCGACAATGTCCGACATGCGCCGTGCGTGTCAGGTGTTCCGCCTGGAAGAGTTGGCCGAGAAGCTGGGCTTCGAGCTGACGTTGGATCTTCTGGGTGACGACGATGTAGCAGGCACCACTCAAGGTGCCAAGCAGATCAGATCTGCTGCTGCAGTCCTCAAAAATCACGCCCGCTCATACATGAAGCAGGCGAGAAAAGCTGGACTGACTTTGCTACAGCGTCTGGGAACGGACGCCCATTACGCCTTTAATTGTGCGGTCCAAGACCTTACACCTCGGTGTATGCATTGGATTACAGTTCTGGGCAATGTGGTGCTTCCCTCCATCAAGCGCACGCGAGAGGAGATCCGAACTGGAAAGATTCGGCAGTACAAAGCGCGTATGTGCATGGTCGCATACGAAGAGGAGCAGATGAAGACGATCATCGTGGATGATCATGTACTCATCTGGTACAAGAACCGCTTTTACAGAGCCAACCAGTTCGCGGCCGCCTATGCCTTGATCCCGGTGGCCGAACGTTTTGAGGTCTTGAGCGTCGCCAACACGACGTTCCAATCCCTTGCGTTGTCCAAGCAGGATGTGTATGCCGACATTCTCAGCTATGTCGAGGACATCCTGCGCCCCCTCACGGAGGCAAAGGACACGGAAGGCGGAAGCCGACCCCTACCTGCAACGAGGCAGCAGAACCCGGATGTCACCAGGTCCTCGCGTCCTGGCTATGGTTCTCATCAGGGTCCCACTCATGGCTACAGTCAGCAGGAATGGAATGACTACTACAATCAGTGGACTGACCAGGAGTGGGAAGATTGGCGCCGTCGAAATCAAGGCCACCAATACAGGGATCGACGTTGGTCGGGCTATCGCTGAGGCACCGCGGAGGGGAACCTCTCGCCTGATGAATTTATCTTCATCAGAGGCGGGGCATTTTCCTTTCAATGCACGGTGTCGCACAGCGGAAGCTGTTGCCTTTTCGAATCTAATTCGGTTAGGCGACTAGCTTCATTTTTGCACGCGTGGGTGAGCGATTCCACGACTAGTTCCAACACAAGTGTGCTAAGTCGGAATTTTTGCCAATCTATTCAAGTTCACAAAAAGGTTTCATTAACGCTTTGAATGCATATAATTTGAAGCAGGCATTTGGCACTCATCTTATTCTTGCCATGATTCCTTCTTGCATAGCACACGGCTGGTAGTTGCATGAGCCGCAGAGCGGAAGCTCTTGCCTTGCGAAGATAAGGCAGCTTTGAAGCATTTCTAAAAGCTTCCCTGCGGGTTCACATCAAAACCGAATTCAGCATTTTGCCATAATTCATATCATTTTGCTTTGGCAAGCTCCCGGGCGTCCACAAGAACTTTTGATGCCGCGTGGAAACGCAGGCCTATGTAACGGGCCAAGTCCTTTTTCCACTGTGCATGTTCGACCGCAAGCCCGGTAGAGCACAAAACCTGATATTGCTGCATTCGACCGAATTGATGTTCACTGCATCCGTTGGCCATAATACTTGAAGTTGCGCCGAACGATATGCATTGTCAGCTTTTGCTCTTGTTTGCAAATTGTTTGCACGCCTGAGGTGAAGATGGAAGTACTACGAAAGGTTAGGCCGTGCTACGGAGGGTTTGGTCCTTGGGTTTTGTTGTTTTGTTACTAATGGCATCCCTTAACTCCGTAGTGCATCCCTTTAATTTGCAGCTTCACTTCCTGTGCGGTAATTACACTGCACGGGGGGTGTTGATGCACAGTAGTACCACATGTATATATCCTTTTCACCTCACATACTGTTGCGTGCGTGGCTCAAGAAACATGCTTTGCAGGGTGTACTAGGTTTGTGGCTTATCCCGGTTTCTAGCTTGTTTCTACACTATCTACCTCGAACTCGGACTCTTGTATATTTTTGTGGGGCAATTTGGAAAGTATTCAGACACTTGTGATATCTTGTGATTCTCTGAGGTGGAATGGCTTACGTCTCCACAAGATATTTCGGCGCGACACCCAAGGTGACGACCGTGCCCTGGCGGCTTCCAGCACGGCACTTTATCTCGCAGAAGAATTGTTTTCTGGGAACGTGTGGGAACGTTTGGGAACAGTTCATTTTTTACCCCGCGGAATTTTAGTGAATTTTAGGCATTCCGACTGCTGAAGGTAAAGGTAGATATATGATATATATTAATTATTGATTGATATTACATGTAGAGAATGAACAAAGAATCTGAAGTCTTATTCAACGGAGCAGCTGGATGATCCCCTGCCAAGGAACGAAAAAACTTTGGCGATGTTTTTGCATTTAACAACTTCAAGAAAGTGGGGACAGGCACCTGGAGCGTCACCACTGGTTTCTTGGCAATACGTGGGCTGCAAGTCTGGCGTGCAAAATTGGATCCTTATTTCCAAGAAGGCCATATCAAAAGCGAAATCATAGAAAACATCAAAGCCACTAATGTTGCGATATAATTTGATATCTCTCCATCAATCTGTGTTATACATAATATCATGCAAGTGAGTGCGTGTACAGTTTTCCTTTCTACAGACTTGGCAAAGGTTCCCCTCAGGATCATCACCAATTCCAAACTTCCTCAAATTCGTGCTCTTGGGCAAATCCTTGCTATAGAGCCACGATGATTCACCCAAGGGGCCAATTGCGATCCAATTGCGCATGACTGGCAGGTTTTCACCATCTGAGCCGAAAACCAGCAGAATTGCGAATCTACGTGCTGCAGGCTTGGAGCTGTGGAGCTGATTTTGAAAGGCCTTGGAAAAGGGATGAAAAGGGCAAAAAAAAACATCATCGTTTTTCCATCACACAAATGCCACACAAGGCCATGCACGCTACCGTATGATCAGTATGGATTGATACACTGTGTGTATTTGGTGTGTATATTATATATCGTAGATGATATTTTATGTATTATATTGTGTCATGTCATGGCATTCATTTGCAGACATATCTACATTGTATATACTGTACCTCTCTCTCTCTGCACATGTGTTCAGATCTCGGCTTTGGTTTGATCAAACTTTTTGTGTTTTTCTCAAACCCCACTTTCTAAGACATCGCAAGGGCCAAATAGGAATCCCAAAAGGTTAATCCTTGGCTTATCATACCGGCCAGATTCTTGTGAGCCGTTTCTACCTGGCAAGGATGATGTACCCAGCAGTCCAGCACAAGACAGAACAGTGGTTTCTTAAATGTGCTTTTAAGGTGGCTCCAAGGATATAGTACGCAGCTGTAAGATAATGTAAGATATTGCAAGATATTTCAAGCCATATTTTGGACCAAGGCCAACTCAGACTTCGTCAATGATTCGTTCCACCTGGAGCTGGGGTGTCCATTGGGCAGCACTTGTCGTTGGTGGACGGAGTGACCCCCGAAAGAGGCATGTCAATAGTGCGCCCTGACCGCCAATACAATATATAGCGAGTTGCCTCAGCGCGGGAAAGAAGTTCCAGCCATCAGAATGCTGGACTGATCTGGACTGCGATGGAGTATGATCTGGCACGACTTCAGAAAGATGGCAGGAATGGCATGCTACAGATGGTTATAGCATGTTATAGCACGCCATGATATCTCATAGCTGCAAATCTTGATTGCCTCTTTTTGAACCATTGGTGAAGACAAATGCCATCCATCCCTTGGTCCCTTGGTACTCGTATGATATTTGGCATTTGGCTAGTTTGTTTTCCTCCTGAGGCTACAACAGCTGCCTGTTGTTGAACAAGCCTTTAGATGGTTGGATTCGGGTGGCGCGGGTGATCTCTCCCGGTGATGCGGACGTCTTGGATGCGCACGCCCGGGCCATTCTGGTAGGTTGGGACTTGGAAGTGTCTTAGTTGCACCGCGAGCACCGTGATGCTTCATTGCGAATTAATGTGACCTCGGCAATATTTATAGTACAATATGAAATATATAATTATTATGTAACATTCCAATCTTTGGTGCTGGCTGCGAGCCCTAGAGAGAGGATGAGAGAGGGAGGGGCAAGGGGGATTGCATGTGATGGAACCCGACAATCCCGGATTCTGAATGGAGCTTCAGCAACTGCAAGCTTTGTAGTAGAATCATCCAAAGTCTCCCACTGAAACGACTTGGAGCCTCAGCGTTGATGTTTTACAAACGTCATCAAACGTCTGAGCCCCACCATGACCAATGCCCGAGCCGAGGTAGAGGACCACGGTCGTTTGTGGTATAAGTTCGAACTTGCTGCGCACAATTCGTCCAACACACAGCCAGAGCTCCTTCACTGGGCCTATGTCTCTTGGAATATCTGATTATCTTGCATTTGCTTGTCTATTTTGTTCATTTTTGTTCAATGATCAAAGTTGTGCGGTGCACATGCCGAAAAAGTGGCAACTGCATGAAGAGGCAACAAAAGGCTTTCTTCCTCACTTTCTCCTGATTCTTTTGCAGCCTTTGGGACTTGAAATCAACTTGGCCTTAACCATATGTGATGCTTTTCTTGTTCAACATCTCAAACCCGCTCGCCGACAGCTGCACCTTTCCGGTGCTTCCAGGCTCACCATCAGAAGATGCTGCAGCACGCAGAAGGAAAGACTCGCATCGCCCAAAATCTGAGCTCGAGAGTCTTGGCTCAAAGGGTGACATCGCCGGTTGCTATCCCGTTGTGTCCCGTTGCTGCAGTTGATGAATCCTAGAGTATTTGGGAAATTTTGGGAATCAACTTGGTTTCCCAAATCATCTCCTTATGTGTGTCGACCTCATGACAAATGTAAACAAATGTAAGATAATGTAAGAACACTGCCTCCAATTGTTTCACGTCTTCTAGTGAGAGGATGAATTTGCATTTTCTCATTGCATGCCATCGAGTCAATTCGAGCTATCATAGGGCAAGCTGTGTTTTGTGGAGTCCTGATGCAGGCTGACATGGTCCTCCCTTTTTGAACCAGTGCGTAACTGACCGGAAGTGTATTTTGCCCCCTTCGTGGGCTCGATGCAGGTCAAGCACCTACAAAAGGGCACATGCATGGGGTGCTGGGAAACAATTGGCTTTTGCACGCTGAACTCTTTGAAAAGAAACTCGGAGTGAGTTCGTGAGATGCGTAAGGATGATTCATTGGTGTTGCCGATTGGTTGGGTGGCCTGATGTGTGTGAAGAAATGGGCCCTCCAGGAAACCATAAACTTGAAGTAACTTGAACCAGTCAAGCTGTTGTCCGGCTTTGTTCTTGGGGAGTGGGATTGCCCTAAGCTTCATGGGGTTTCGAATCACTCATGGGCAGCTTTGCGAAGGTGTGTCTTAGTCGCCTTTAGATCCTTTGGCTCTGCTGAACTCCTTGAGAAAGCGATGGAGAGAAGAACTGTTTTCAAGATCATAAGAAGTGTGGAGCACTGCTGCATCAGCTATGATGAGTTGAAGATTTCGTGGGTTCGTGGATGGTGACCCCTTTGTTACAGGATGTAAAGGGCGTAGGTCAAGTGCGGCATGTGGATCGCCGAGGACCAATGCATTGGATTTCTTGCCAGCAGCACAGCCCTCCTCAGAAAGGCAGAGGCTGTTGAGGCAGGAGACCAGGAAGACCTTGCAAGAGCTGCGCAAGACATGGCGGCACTCAATGTTTAAGTGCCTTGGGCCAAAGACGACGGGGGAAGTGACTGATTCTCCTGTTGGATGCCGAATCCTGCGGCCGCCCAGCTCGGTTTGAAGGCATCACTAGACATGATATACTAAATGTATTAGTCAATATATAGATGTTGAACGTGGGGTGGATTGAACTTCTAGCTGTCTTTTCTCAAGGAGAACCCATGATGCCTGGCAACCGGGATTTGACTGATAATTTGAGAGCCAAGGGGCTGGGGATGTTTGTGCCATAAGCACATTGGAAGCCAAGAGCGCGGGGACAGCATCCTCAAAAGAATCGGGTGGATGTTGGTATATAGGTGTATATAGATGTCGTACCCTGCCCAAGGTCTGACTTCTACTTTAGTGGCAAAGGCTTCCAGAAGGCATCGCTTCAGTTGCAGCTGAGTGGTTGGGCTGTCCAGGTTGACTCTTTACTGAAATCTCACATCCTGAACTCCTGAGCTGTTGACACTTGGCATATTCGAAGCACGACCATTTCACCAGCAAGGTTTCGATGAGACAAAAACGCTGCTGATTGCTGCTGGTTTACCGGGTGCACCCGTCAGGTGGCCATGGTCTGCCTCTTGGCAGAGCAGCTCCTCACTGCCCGCGAGCGTAGCCTTTGCACCAGCTGGCTCTCTCGAGGCTTCGAGCCCCTTGGATGCGACGAGCGGAGCAAAGTAAGCTCCGAGCATGTCAGGTCGCCCTACCCGTTTGTAAAAAAGATATCATTTTAATGTGATGAAGAGTGAGGAGGAGTAATGAGGAGTGCTGATCAGTGATGATGAGTGGTGATGATGATGATGATGAGGAGGAGGAGGACGACGACGATGACAGCGGCCGCGACGACGACGACGACGTCGACGTCGACGTCGACGACGACGTCGACAATCATGTCGATTTATACGCAGAATGCATGCCCCATTCATGGTTGTGATTAATTGATATTAATTGATATTAATTGTGCGTGTCTGTAAAAGGCATTTTACACCTGCATTCAACCAGACCAGACTGTGGTACATAAGAATGCTCTGGGTGCTGCATCGGTTTCCTGGCCCCTCGATGCCCCATGTACGGAACTTGGTTCGTCCCCAGTCCCCAGGTGCATTATCAGCCGGTCGAAGACCGACAAGGTATCCTCCCAGTGTGTGCCCTGGCTGTGCTTGACCTCCGTTGATCTTGTGAGCATAGTATATAAACAATTTTGAACAGAACCTCACTCAATGCCATCAAAATCCGGTGTGCATCAGGATACCGTGCATTTCCAACTAATTAATTCTGTACAGTTGCATTGCACACATGGGTTTCAAACAGGGATCTAGCATGATCTAGCTATGTAGCAGCTTAGTTTCTTGAGCGTACCTGAGTCGCACCAGAATGGAGTCAGTCCCTGACACTTGAATCACTTGACATGTGGATTGTATGAATGGTTTCACTATGTTTCCCTGAATGTGTCATTCAATGGACTGATGACTGCCGATGATATGTCCCCAGGCCATCTCTGCTCAGCTGTCCGAGGCAGGAGCGCCGGGAGGCCTGTTCTACGATACGGATTGGGGTGGTTTGCCCAGCAGAGTTGGGTACAACGCCACATGGCACTCCGAGCCAGCCACTCGGTGCAGCTGGTTGGGAAACGGTATGGCATGGTATGGCCTGCCTGATCCCAGGCATTCGCATATTGATGAATATTGATCTGCATCGATGCATATATTTGCTGGTTCCAGTGCTAATATGTGCTAATACCATGGAAGTCATGTTTTTTTCTCACTGCCGGGCCTTTCTGGACCAGTGAGCAGTCATGAGTCAGCCATACTACTGTTCACATCATGTCCGGGATCCCAAGAAGTATGTTTGGCCGGCCTCAACATTATTCTGTGGCTGAATGGATCCCATGTTTAAGGGGGGTTGCTACTATGATGTCAACATTATGCTGGTTGGGAGCGGTCAGTTTCCCTGCGTTGTATCATGTTGTCTCATGCAATATCATACAGAGTTTCAGCCACATTTGGGATATAAGTACTGGCTCAATGCAGGACTAGGAGCAGGTGTGATTACCAGAATGCGGTCATTTTAGACATCCATCACCCACCGCAGAAGGTGGTTTTATTCTGTGAGCCTTAGCCTCTAGCTGATTCTGCACACTTGCCTGGAAGCATTGGAAGCATGAAGCAACTGCTGCTGAGGTTTTGCATTGCATGTTGGCAGATTTCGGAAACTCCTGCTACAACGATGCTGGGCACCGCAATGCAAAAGTGTATGTAGTTTTGAGACTGTCGGGGACACAGAGAAATATTGGATTTACTCAACTCCCATCAACTTTTCTTCGATTGGAGCCTTACCAACACAGGCAACGCTACATCAAGAGTATAGATGAGTATCGGGCAAATCAGCTCACCCAATGGAACCGGCGCAGAACTTTCGAGCACGTAGTCCGTGTATACGTTCTTGCTTCAAGGTTTTTATGCGTTTTTATATTAGCATATGACTTTATATGACAGTATATGGGTGTAACCTGGCGCCCCATGGCTGTATATGAATATGGTCAGTATCATTGAATCATGGGTCACGCATGGTCCAGGTTGTTGGCCCAAAGGTCCCTGGAACTTGTCCACCCAGGACCATCACTACCACTTTGGTTATTTCGTTGTCACTGCTGCCATCTTGGCAAAATTGAAGCCCGAGTGGAAGAACAACACCGATTTTGTAGACTTTGTGACCTCGTCAGCAGATGGTCATAGGATGTCATAGGCACCCCCAAGACATTACAAGCACTCCAGATTGCGGACACGCAACCCTACCGCCCTACCGTTGCGAGTATGCCAAATATATCCAAACATGCCAATGAGACTGTGGCATTCCATTGTGCATGGCATTGTATCATATTGTATCGATGATGAGGAGGAATGCCATTTGATGCCATTTAATTGATGCCATTTACGTTTTGAACCAGTTGTTTTATTCTTGGCGGTTTCATGCTCGATGGAGGTCGATGGCCTGATTCGAGACACTTCGAATCCCAGCAGCCATGATCCATACTTCCCTCGCTTTCGAAGGCCGCCCCACTCTTGCTGACATTTATGCAACATACGAAATGTGTGGAACCTTTACCTGGCTGTCTCTAGGTAAATGAATCCAGGGTGATGCAGTAGTTACACTTAATTTCACTTGATGACATTTAAGAATGCATTTCAATGTCTTATAGTCTTATTTGGATTTATTTGGATATATTTGGATCTTTTGAGTCCTGGATAGATGCGGTTATGATTGCCACATAGTGACCACGTGAGCCATCAGCCATTGCCAGCTTCGACTGGTTTGACCTGCATTCGTGGAGCCGTGGCCTGGCGCCGAACCCAGAGGGAAAAGATGAAGAGTCGACCTCGGAGCCTCGGTATCGATGAATCGAGCGTTGCTGGCAGCTGGCAGCTGGCGAGAGAGCAAGGTGATGATATGGTGATGATATGAAGACGGTTGAACGGGAGGTCGTAATGCGGCATAATTGGATATAATTGGCATAATCCAGACTCCCATAATCCATGGGTGTTCTTGGACTGGCATGGTAGGGAAGGAGAGAATGTGGTTTTGCCAATCTTGCATTTTTCAAGCTTAAAACATGTACGCTGCAACCTGGACGTTTGCCCGGAGTTGATGTCCCGCCATCCTGATTTTGATCCCCCATGAAGATAAAGTTGATGTTATTATCCCAATCAACGTATTGTTCAGAGGGGTGGCAAATTTTAATCCCTCATGAAGATAAAGTTGATGTTATTATCCCAACCAACGTATTGTTCAGAGGGGTGGCGAATTTTAATCCCTCATGAAGATAAAGTTGATGTTATTATCCCAATCAACGTATTGTTCAGAGGGTTGGCGAATTTTGATCCCTCATGAAGATAAAGTTGATGTTATTATCCCAATCAACGTATTGTTCAGAGGGGGTGGCAAATATTAATCCCTCATGAAGATAAAGTTGATGTTATTATCCCAATCAACGTATTGTTCCGAGGGGTGGCGAAATTTAATCCCTCATGAAGATAAAGTTGATGTTATTATCCCAACCAACGTATTGTTCAGAGGGGTGGCGAATTTAAATCCCTCATGAAGATAAAGTTGATGTTATTATCCCAATCAACGTATTGTTCAGAGGGGTGGCGAATTTTGATCCCTCATGAAGATAAAGTTGATGTTATTATCCCAATCAACGTATTTTTCAGAGGGGGTGGCGAATTTTGATCCCTCATGAAGATAAAGTTGATGTTATTATCCCAATCAACGTATTCTTCAGAGGGGTGGCGAATTTTAATCCCTCATGAAGATAAAGTTGATGTTATTATCCCAACCAACGTATTGTTCAGAGGGGTGTCGAATTTTGATCCCTCATGAAGCTGATGTTATTATCCCAATCAACGTATTGTTCAGAGGGTTTGGCGAATTTTGATCCCTCATGAAGATAAAGTTGATGTTATTATCCCAATCAACGTATTGTTCAGAGGGGTGGTGAATTTTGATCCCTCATGAAGCTGATGTTATTATCCCAATCAACGTATTGTTCAGAGGGGTTGCGAATTTTGATCCCTCATGAAGATAAAGTTGATGTTATTATCCCAATCAACGTATTGTTCAGAGGGGTGGCGAATTTAAATCCCTCATGAAGATAAAGTTGATGTTATTATCCCAATCAACGTATTGTTCAGAGGGGTGTCGAAGTTTGATCCCTCATGAAGCTGATGTTATTATCCCAATCAACGTATTGTTCAGAGGGGGTGGCGAATTTTGATCCCTCATGAAGATAAAATTGATGTTATTATCCCAATCAACGTATTCTTCAGAGGGGTGGCGAATTTTGATCCCTCATGAAGCTGATGTTATTATCCCAATCAACGTATTGTGTAAATTGGGGTGTCGAATTTTGATCCCTCATGAAGCTGATGTTATTATCCCAATCAACGTATTTTTCAGAGGGGGTGGCGAATTTTGATCCCTCATGAAGATAAAGTTGATGTTATTATCCCAATCAACGTATTGTTCAGAGGGGGTGGCGAATTTTGATCCCTCATGAAGATAAAGTTGATGTATGTTGATGTTATTTCCCCAATCAACATATTGTTCCATTTGTTCCGTTATGTCACAATCATGAGTTTGGGCGAACGTTAAGGTTGCGGACAACATGTACAGTAGGCCATTGAAGAGCAATGACAGGGTTGCTGGTTCCACGCTGCTCCAGGGGCACCAGAGCCATGAAGGTCGGCCAATTGACCTACCATCTGCCACCCAAACAAGGAACCCTTGCCTCATGACATCTCATGACATTTGCGATCGCCTTGTAAGAGATTAACTAAAAACTAATGGTGACAAGTGACAAACATATAGCAATTTGATGCAAGTTGGAATTCCCAATGAAGAAAAACCAGCTACTGGAAATTTCTGAGGAAGAGCTGAATCTTCATTTTGGCATCCACCTCTGGGGCAAAGAGACCGGAAGGAAGTCTTTGCAGCAGCTGGGTGCAACGATGCATCTTGGCCTCAACAGCGGTGATTTCTTTGAAGAAACAGCAGAATCCAAGGCACGATAATGATGATGCCACTACATGCCACTACCAGATCATGTATGCAGGTTTGGAGTCCCAAATGTTGTTGGTTGTTGGATATCCATCCTCGTGTCAGACGTGGCTTGCAACGCGTCCTAGGCGGTGCCAATGTAAATGTCATGGTTTTTCCCATGCTTGCATGTGCGAGCAGCGAAGGTTGGCCATGGCCACGACCACCGTGCAGGAGTTCTTTTTGATGACTGAAGGCAGCTTGGAGTTGTATATAGCTGGGACTATGTGACAGTGAACCTCCACAGAAGAAGACACGCTGCACTGAGATGAATTTCCCAAGGTTTAAAATGGAAAGTCCCAGGCATATAGCACATTTTTGCACAACAAAATTCACAGCTGTGCAATTACAAGTGTTTGCATACAGCCCAATCGCTTTATTGAGGGAAATCAGGGATCACAGGAACTTCCAACAGCTCAAGTCAGGAAATCCTCATCATCCGGCAGACTATGTCAACTTGGTTGCACCCAGGTCTCTGCCAAGATGGTTTCCTACAAGAGTAATCAAGAGTAATCAAGAGTAATCAAAGGAGTATAAGAGGTTCACTTTCTCAGCCCCACCTGACTGATGAGCAACAATTCCCCCTGCTTGTGGCTTCACAACATCCTGAGTTGCAGAAACACTGTGGTCCAAGTGACGTGTAACTCTGCCAAGGCCAGGAATCGGGCACCGGGCATGCTTTTGCAGAACAAGGCGCACTACGCAACCTATTTTGGGAAAAAGTTTGAGCGGCTCGGTGGCAATACATGGCAACACTGCAAAACAAAGCTATTGATGTTTGTAAGTTGGCAGGTGACGTGCTGAGTGCTGACGAGTGCCACTGTTTGCCAGCAATTCAGGTACATCCACGGCATCCAAATGCTGCCTTTGTCACCCGCCTTGATGCTTGCGCGGAGCCCCAAGTTCAACAAATTGGAATGGAGACTTGGCAACGGCAGCCACAGTCCTACGTGTGGGGCAGAGGATGTTGGTAAGTTCCAATTGCCCTCCAGAAGCTTTTGCGTGGTAACAACTCTTTGCAATCCTTTGGCAAGATCCATAGGAAGCCGCTCTCGGTGGAACAATCGAAACATAGTATCCATTCCAGCGATTTTTGTGTGACCAACTTGGTGCTGAATATACTGCAAGTAGCTAGTACCTGTAGATTATCTCAGATCAACCGAGATTGATCCACGACATTCTTCGCTTAAGGAGTGAGATTCTTTGCAACTTGCCCCTGGCACTCACGGACCGTTGGACCTCGGTGCTTCTGACGGGAAATCTGGCGATGTTTGATTCATCGGCTGCTCTTGAATCTTGGACAATCTCCAACCGTTGCAGGCGTTTCTACGATTTTCTGGATGATCGCCATGGTTGGTCGATATTTGCCAATGATATCCTTCAAACAAAAAAACAGTGGATTATCCACTGTTTTTTGTTTGAATTTATATAGATGCTGCTTTTTCTTGATGTGAATATATGGAAATTATGTTGCGTGATTCAGAGCCTTTGAGAAGTGCCGTTGGGTGCTGAGAAACAAGTCATGTCCGCCAAGCCACCCTGAGCCACTCCTGAGGAGCGTTTACAAAAGATGCACCCAAAGAGCATGGACGATGGCTTGACCAAAGCTTACGCCTTGTACTGGGCCAGTGAACCTTGGTGCAAGACATGCCATGACATGCCGAAAAAGAATATTTGCTGCTTGTTTCGGGAATTCTTGCGACAAGAACCAAACAGATCTAGAATCTAGAAGCTATAACCAGTTGATGCTGTCTAGTATATTTTTGTGCGAGCTTGTTCGAAGATGTATGAAGATGTGCTCGACGTGATATAACCAACACCCAACCTGCTCCACAACAGACCGAACTGGAAGATGGCCGTGGCCCTGTGCATAGCTAGCCCTCCGCGACCCCAGGTCTAGGTTGTGGAAAATGCCGGATACGTGGAAATACTCCATCAGAATCCAGGAGATAAATGGAGATAAACTGATAGTGGTAGCAGTACTTGCTGTGAAACGTGGCAATGGAAATGCACCATTTTTATCCATTTTTATGTATGATGGTCAACCAATCAATCAAATAGATTGCTGGATGGTAGCTCCACCCAGATCTCGTAACACTTTGGATACTTTGACCCAATTGGCCCAGAAAAGCGTTGCTTTCTTGATAGCTGTTTGTTACAGCATATTACTATATAGGTCAATCATGAATGGTCTGGTTTCTCCATGGCATCTCCTATATTGCTGCAGTTGTAGGTCATTGTAGCTGTTTATTTTGGCCTTATATACTGTATTCAGGTCCAACCAGCCAGTGACGGCAACTGGACCTGCGGCCAACCATTTTTTCATGGGCCTCGTGTATGTCCTGCAGGCACGGAAGCAACGCTGTTTTGGTTTCTCGAAGGAACTGTGCGACGTGGTTCAAAAAGGGAAAATCATGGAAAATCCTAATGCCCAAGCTGGGAGGGCTCTACTTTTCAGCCAGGTCATTACCGTGCTGGCGCCGGGTGTTTGAAATGCCCTGCCGGCACATGGAACAATCTCACCAACCAGACGAACCGCACTGCTTCCAGACATGGAACCCGACCGGACTTGATGGAACGGCTGGGCATCCGTTGCATGGGGTTCAGGCGTCATGATCCAGGCCAGGTACTCTCAAGCTATTGTCGACGCTAGTGTCAACACTTACAGTACATATGGCCCAGTGTTTGGTGGTTCCCCCCTCCCCCCACCGAGATGGTGATGGTCCCTATATGCATATGTAAGTTATAAGCTATATATATATGATATATATATATATATTTACATATATATTATAAGTAGTGTGTATATGTATATATATATAAGTAGCGTATAAATAAATATATACATACATACATACATACATACATATGTGTGTGTATATATACGTATGTAATGTAGTATGTGTATGTGCAAATGTATACAGTATGAATAGGTATGTGTATATGCATACGTCTATGTATATCTCCTCCCCTGTGGATGTGGTGGGGGTGCTGTGGGTTGATGGGGTGGGGAGGGTAACCCCCCTATGTGTATATATATATATATAATGTATATGTATATATGATCCGCCGTTCCTGGTCTGTCCCTTCTAAACTCTTTCTGTGTGACGATTAGTTTTGATGGGCTAGTGAGAACCACGATGACATGTGGGATCATGTGGGCTTTGAGAAAGCCAAGCTAGGCCAGGGACATCACTCTTTTCCTGTCATACACGCGTCGCTGCTTGGCTCACCAGCAATACCCGATGAAAGCCCGCTGACAGATTAATCAAACAGCACAGCAGGTATCATGAAATGTATGGCTCCCGTTCTGCGACCTTCACGCACCATGTAAACATGTGAAGACACCCTCAGTGTGGTGCCCGCGTCCGCCAAACATGATCAATATTGATCAATACATAGCAGTATATTACATATATGTATATATTATGTATACCAAGAGTCTAGAGACCTTTGTAGTTGCACCGTGCACCCTGTCAGCGGCAGTTTCACTCAGACTTTCACGCCATCATGCCTACCGGTCCGGAGTGTGGGGAGACCAAGCATCAGATCATTGTCATTTCCGCGCCACCAATCCACATCCAAAAACTGAGGGCTTGCAAAATAATCAAAATAGATGCAAATTCTACTTGCATCATTAATCATGATTCTGTATATTCTGTGATGCTGATGGATTTACCAAATGAGTAGGGATGCACAAAGCGGCTGGGAATCTATTGCTGATATAGTTGAGACACTTGAGACAGCAAGGTCATCAGATGTCAGCATCCCTTTAGAGAAGAACTTGAAATTGCCAGCTGTCAAAAACCAGATGGTAAGACAGTGCCAACCAACACCGCGCATTTGCACAAACATACGCACAAACATACATCCTCATACCTGAACACAAGACGCAACATAATCATAGAAAATGTAGAAATGCTTACATGATTGCACATGCGCTTCTAAATCTGCGCACTGCATACTTCTATTACTTTAGCATCCTAGGATCCAAAAGGCCCGGCAGTTGAGCCAAGTTTAGCCTTTTTAATGGCCGGTCCAAGGCGATGCTGAGACTATGGAGGCGTTCGAAGAACTTCGTTTAGAAATAGAAACTTGGAGCAGAGAAGCTAACTGATTCAGAGCCATGCCACATATTTGCTCTCCAGTTCCAGGTGGTTTCAGGTTGCCCCCAGTACCTCATAGCTTCCTGCGATTGTGCTCTAGTAGTAACTGAGAGCTGAAGCAGAACAGGCCCACCAAAAAGACCGTTGACTGATGCATGCATCTATACGCATTTTCCGGCAAATTCTGGTGCCGTTGGGCTGCCAATGCCAAGGAGAGCTACTTCGACGCCGTGCAGTTGAAGATGCAACGCCTCCACATGACCATGCGGGGACATCGACACAAGGAGGCACCTGAGGGGACGTTCCATCACGCTCAGCTTAGCCCCAACTTCCAGTTTAGCCCCAACCCGTGGGCAGAAGCCCATATCCGCCATATCCACCTTGTCAGAATGAAACATACAGCACGCCGCTGCGTACCATGTAGGATTCATGTCATCAGCAGCTGAAGACATGTCAAACATGCCCAAGCAGGTTCCGTCCACAGAGTCAGAAGCTGCCAACAACATGTTGGCCTCGGAGCTTCTTGGCTGACCACCTCTGGGCCCAGTTGGTTCCTGATGGTCCCCGGGTGGGAAGTTTGGTATTGGAATGTATTGGAATCACTCCAAGAACCAAGATCAAGGCATGAATGCTGAAACTGGATCAGAACATTCTGCCGAATGACAGACAACGATGGCATGGGAATTGAGGAATGAGATCCGCCAAGAGATACATACATACATACATACATACATACATACACATACACATACACATACACATACACATACATATACATATACATATACATATACATACACATATACATACATATACATGCATATACATGCATATACATACATATACATACATATACATACATATACATACATACATACATACATATACATACATATACATACATATACATACATATACATACATATACATACATATACATACATATACATACATATACATACATATACATACATATAGATACATATACATACATATACATACATATACATACATATACATACATATACATACATATACATACATATCCATACATATACATACATATACATACATATACATACATATACATACATATACATACATATACATACATATACATACATATACATACATATACATACATATACATACATATACATACATATACATACATATACATACATATATGTACATATATGTACATATATGTACATACATACATACATACATACATACATACATACATACATACATATATGTACATACATATACATACATATATGTACATACATATACATACATACATATACATACATACACATACATACATACATACATACATACATATATACATATACATATATACATATATATCACTTTATAACTATAAAGTCTAAACTGTACACCTTGCCTACGAAGTCTGAGTTTGACCTACATACCTCTTAGTCGCATCAGAGGGCGAAGGAACAAGTGTAACTCAGTACATCCCTGCAATATAGAGGACCGTGAGAAAGGATGAAACAGGCTGATGTAGGGGGACAGATAGTTGGCATATCCATTTGCACGATAATAGCATTACCTGAGTTTTCTGTACATACTTTCCTAGACATGTTTGTGGACCAGCACTGCGATTGAACTTCGAGCTGTATCGATGCACTTCCCCAGTTGATTTATGAAGTCAATGCAAATTTTTGGCAATCATGGTGAGCCGCACCAAGGCCAATTGCTTTGGTGGACTATCGGTCCCACCGCAGCAAGGAAGAACAAGTTGAGCTTGGTCGCACCATTGAAAGGTGGCTGTCGGGCCAGATGGGACCAGGGGTGTCCAGGGCGTTTCTTCTTGGGCAATCTGCCAAGTTGTTGTTCTTCCTGTTGTCATCGTTGCTGCCGCTGTCATGGTCTTTTCTTAGTGTTTCTGTGTTTGCTTTGGGCATGTTGCTCTCGTTCTTCATCCTGCTGCAACTCTTGAGCATTTCTATGGTCATCCATCCTCCTTCAGTTGTAGCGGTGGGTATTGTGGCTGTTGCCGGCATGTTGTTCACTGCCTGTTGCACCCTGTTGTTTGTTCGCGGCAACACTAACCACAACCACTGCCGGAAAGAAACAACGCAAAAACACGAAGCATGAAATATTTATCGTCATGTAAAGTTTGTCTGGTATCATGTTCGCTTGATCAATCCTGATGTGACTATGCTGGTGGGTTAGCTAAGGGGTTGCAACAACGTTGCGCAAGTTTCATGAAGGCCGTGAGGCACTTTTTGGGCAACTTCAATTCTGCCAAGGGAATGGACATCCGCTTGCACGGTAGGCGCGGCTGGCAACAGCGGGTGTATCATTGAGGTGGCAGGTCTGATTGCAGCTGTGTAGTCTCAAGTTAAGTTGTGCTCGGGATCCTTTGGAAGATACAGAGGCGGACTTCCTTGTCTAGTGTAATCATTGTCAACATATTGGATTCATTAGAGGAGACTTGGCACTTTGGAGTTCATTCAGCTTACAGCTGTTGGAAAAGACAAATTGCGGTAAATGTCATCGGGAATCCAAGCGGTTATTCATGTGATTGGATGTTCCGGCCGTTGTGCACAGCAGGTGGATGGAACTGTCCACACGGGTAGGCGATGACACACAACTGAAGTCAGTGTCCCTTGGCCACCGAAATTTGTGAAAAGCTTAGCTAAGCTCGGCCGTTCTAGGTATGAACTGATGAAGTTCAAGGCTCCAGGCATGATAGGCATGCCAGGCCGCGACAGTTTAAGTCAAGTGCATACCACATCGGGTTAGTGTTTTGATGTGTTTTGGAAGGTTGCAGAGTGCCAATGGATCCAAGGTTGCAGTTTCAAACTTAAATATAGTCGAGAGATGTCAAGGGTGATATCCCCTCACGGTATGTGAATTAAAATGAGTGTTGAATTGCTGCATGGAATTTGTGATCATTTGTAGACTGCCTTGATTGGCACATTGTGAATGAACAGCAAAGTGGCCCGACCCAGGCAAATGAAGCAGAACAACACCAACCGCTTTTCTGAGTTCCACATGTAGCATAACTGCAGCAGAGACAGATTTTGGATGATTTTGGGGCTTTGAACTTCCCAATGGTTACCCAGCCAATGGGGGTCTTCAAGACTCATGGATTGACTTTGATGATCTTTGATCAAATTGGCCCATAAATTTGCCAGATCGGGGAGGCACTGGTAAAATATGATGTAGTTAGCCGCTTGGCTGCGAAAAGCCAGCTGTGAGAGTAGCCACCGCTTGCACTGAGGGATGGCACGTCGGCCTTTCACCCCGGGGGCAACTTCCGTGTTGCGTGGGATATGTCTCTTGTCTCAAGTCAGCTCCGCGTTGACTCCATACCTTCTTGATATTTCTTGATCCTAGGAAATTGTGGAAATCCATCTTTGAAGTTTTTGAAGAACACCAGACCCGCACAATGCCAGTCAACATTTTTTGTCTCCTCGAGTGGCCGGCCAAAGATGCAGATCTCCATTGCATTGGTTCGTTGAATGAACGGTCAATTGTCCAATGCTACTCTTGGAAGCTGAGATCAACAAGCTCAGATCATATATATATAATTATATATATATATACATACATACTGTATATACCTGTATATCATTATATATCCTCATGTATCCTTGCTGCTTTTTTGGGGGGTGGGCTTAGATGAATAGTGGACGAGAAAGTACTAAAGTGTTTGCACAATAGTTGTACTATGTTGTACTTTTGCAGGTCGTGGGCAGGGTCCTCGCAAATGTCGTGTGGTGTGGCAGGCATTCTTGCCATTGTTACAAAATCAGGCATAGTCATGACTCACAACATCAAGCAAGGTACACGATTTTTTCCCGGGCCAACATTCACATATTTTCACTCCATTATCATGAACCTGCCGTTTCCAAGGATGGGTTTGTTCTTCTTATCCATCGACGCTCTGATGTTGCCATTGTCCTTGGCCTTTGACATGCAAATGAGTACAGACAATCCAGGGGGAGTGTGCCTTGGTACTGCGATCTCGCTGAGGGCTTATGTTTGGCATTGCAGTTGCACCGCTCACAAGTGTTCAGGCAGTGCTCAGGGGTGCTCATGGTCCCATGGTGTCTCATGTTTAAGTGCCTATTTCTGTGCCTATTTCTGTGCAATGCCCGTCACTGAAACATACTGAAAACTCGGCACGGCTAGGTGCCTTTAAAGTCTTGTAAAGAGAGCTCAACTCAAGTCCAAACGATCCGCTTTGCAAAGAATCGCAGAATGGTACTCCCAAACTAAGCATCATATGCATCGCTTGGCTTTGTTTCTTCGATTCCTCAACTATTTTTGAGGACTGAGGTCCAGTAGCGTCGAAACCGGGACCAAATGGAAGCAAATTTGGTCCTTACTTCCCATCTAGCTTGGATTGTGCAAAAGTCTTGCATGTTGCACCAAGATCACCAAGGTTGCTCACCATCTTCTTTTGGTTCGGCTTCGTGTACTGGTGTGCCTTGATGCAAAATGCTGCGCTATGACGCCATGAGTGGCCCAGGAGAGCACATTTGAGGTAGCGATTAAAGAAGTGGCATGTTGGTGGGTCCTCTAGGGAGGAGCACTACAAGACCAAAGTATAAATTACAATGAATTATACATATATTTGCATGCCGGAAGCCACGTTCCTAGTTCAAGAAAGCCTGTGCTCTAGCCCACATCATTAGAGCTTAGTGCTGTAGTTTGAATGAGATCTATGTAATTACTGTGTGACATGCTAGCATATGCTAACAAAATCTTTTCGGTCCAATGTTTATGCAGCTCATTTGCACATTTATGAGGCACTAAACATGTTCGGGGCAGAGAGCACTACTACGCTTCCTCTACCTCCCATTGTTTTCAGAAACTCGGGGCTCTAACCCGAGGCTCTGATATACCCGCAAACTTTAACACTGCAGTGTATCGTCAAGGACGCAGATGGGCCGGCAGGTTGTGTTTTGCGCCGGTGGAAGATTTGAGGGCGGAGCTCAAAAATGCGGACTCGTGAATGGAAAATCCATGAAAATCCATGTCCAAATGAGAAAACATGATAAAAACGAATCTCATGAAAAGATATGAAAAGTGTATGACAGTAAATGGGAATATGAAATAACCAGCTGCCCTTTCCCTTTCTACGAGCTCTACTCTGCCATTCTTTGTTCTGGTTCGCTCCAAACAGTTCCAGTATTACGAATGCAATTGCTTGGTGCATTACAATCATGACCATGATGATTATAATTATGATGCATCAAGTATTGACCATGGTGCATAAATATAAACGCATGCCCAAACTCCTTCAACCGTAAATTCTCACAAACACGCAGGGTTCCAGCCCTGTGCCACCCTGTTTTGTCAGGGCGTATTGTGGAGACACGACGACTCATTGCATACCACTACCTCCGGACCTGGTTCTTCTTCGACCTTGGCCTCATCACCTTAGACTTGATCAGCGTAAGCACGGAGTGGTCCGCGGCAGGCAGACGGCATTTGACAGCAGCGACCATACATTTCCTGTAAAGTTGATGGCCACAAGCAGGTGCCACGAATAACTCGTCAGAGATTTGAATCAGTGAGGAGTGATGCATTCATCAAAATCATGATAAAATATGTGAGTAGAGGTTATATATTGCTAGATGGTTAGCGCAGCAAAGATCAGCAAAGAGAATTCAAACAGCAGAAAGCAGGAAGACCAAAGGCAATCAAGAAGACAGGAGAGCCTATAAAAGAACGAATTAATTAGTCAAAGAATGAAGGAATAGAAGCAGCATGCTATGTGCCTGGCCCATCCCTGGCCAATTGGTTTGTCTTTCTCCACAGTCCGAAGGTGATTTGGCAACTTTGCGCTCTCTACGTGTGATACGAGCACTGCGATTGTTGCGCCTTCTGAAGGTAGACGAACCCCTCGCCATAACGTGCAGAGTGAATTCAATCGGGGCGCCAGGTTGTCCAAACTTCTCATTTATATATGGTAGTATAGTGCTCCTTGGTTAGCGCATGAATGTTGAAAACTGTTGAGATCTCTTGAGGATTGAGCGGATTGAGGTGTTCAGATTCAGGGTTGGATAGACCCACAATAGATCATAATTAGAGCCTTTGATTGACGGAGACTGTGGCTACGGCTACTCTTTCTCTTCTACCTGTAGTGGTTCTGTTTCTCAAGGAATTTGTCATCACAAAATTCGCCTGCCTTTTTTCAATTTTTTTCATACTTCAATAACGGACTGTTCCCTGAGTCTGAGTTCCCTGCCTTTCTGCTCAATTGGGTCCACCAGAAGCAAAGCTCAACAGGTCAGTAAGCTGAAGACGATCATTCAAGAGATGGTGGCCTCAACAGGAGTGGTGTCGCTGGGGCGGGCAGGCCAGCACATGACAGGGTTCAGCGTGGGACGTCCCAGGCTGTGCATTATTTGGAAGTGCTGCAGCAATCTGTGGATATTTTGGGGGCCTTTTAGGTCTTTTCATGTCTTTTCTGGATCATTTTGAAGATTTCCTTGGTCAAGCCACAGCCACGGAAAAACGATCAGGATGGTGCTTTTACATGCTTTTAGGCGACCTTTTGCAATGCCATGCTGCAGGACGATCTGGAGTGGTCTTTATGCTGGCAATTCTCAACACCGCGATCTTGATCATGTTCATGATCCATGTGATGACTTGCCCTTTTGCTGAGTTGGTGAAGGTAAAATTGTCGTGTGATCTCCTGGAGGGATTTAACATGATTTAACTTAACTTCTTGACTTCATGCGTGACGAAGCATTCAAAAGTTGGAACTGGCAAGTCCAAAAGGGATCTTTACACTAAGCTCTGTAGCTCTTTCAAATTCTGTCAATCATTTTGGAGAGCCAAGGCGTGTGGTATGGCATTGGCCGAGGCTCTATCAGTTCAGGCAGACATCGCTGCCCGGGCGTCGTATGTCGGCATGTGTTAATATGTCTTACAACTATTTACAACTTATATCAATCATATTACATAATTCATATTAAAATATGATTTAATAATATTTATATAATATGTCTAATATATTCTAATATATTTTATTGATTTTATTGTGGGGCTTGGTGTATCTCCGTCTGCCTCGTAGGTGGTGATAGTGAAATGTGCCCAAATTGGGGCCTGATGCTAATGCAAGATTCCTAGTGGTAAAGTTGCCCAGCCACGTCAGTGACCTGCTCCCAGGCCAGATTTCCTGGATTGACATCTCTATGGCTACGGATGTGTCAACCTTCACACAGTACATGCATTCCTTGCGCTACGCAGCTCGTTGCCAAAGAAGCCAAGGAACAACACCTCTACTTACAGCCAATCCACTGTTGGAGCGCAGATCGTATGAAATGCATGAACATGTTTGAGATGTCTCCAAGATGTCTCCCCTGGGGTGTCTCAGCATGCCTTTGAACTGACACGTATGTGTAGGAACGCATGCACTGTTCCAGTTGCTGGCATGGAGAATTTTCACACAACAGTGACATACTAAAATCATATCAGCTACATAATGCTACATGCACACAATAATTATACAATGCGCGCCAGGTGTGTTGGTTCATTCATGCGAAAGTATGCACGTGTGTGATCATGAAACTACGTGTGATCTTGCGCATGATTTGTAAAGCGCTGTATGGCTCTTCGGCCACATGTAATTCTCTGTCATGCTTGGTGATCGCCAATTGATCTGCACATGCACCAGCTTTCAACCCAATCCTGGTTTTGAAATCAAGGTCATCAATGCACCATCGCCACCCTTGGTTGCACCAGACAATCTGATCGAACTTTCAGCGGTGCCATAGCAGCATAGAAGTCATGGATGGAATGCGGTGATTTTCAGGCATGATTTGATTTGATGAGCGGTTTAACCTTTTTTTTCCATCCCCAATTGTGATGATATGTGATAATCCTGAAATTGACCAATGTTTTCCCGAAAAAAATGAATGTACCAACCAGTGATGAATGCTGTGAGAGCTTAAAAGGGTGTGCAGATCTACAGAGCTGAGCTGCGGATAGCCAATGATAGCCATGCAACCAAGATCAACCAAGGACACTCTTGCCAACATCCTGGGGCTTATCGTTCTAGGTTCCGCGGTGTCCAAAATCTCTCAAGCTCTTGCAGACATGCGAGCCAATAGTGAGTCAGATGACCGTCAACGACGAGAGATCCGATTGCAACTTGACCTGCAGTATCTGCTTAAAACATCTTAAAACCTCTTGCCTACAAAATGGCAAGTCAGAAACGATCGAAAAAGATGAGCGCAGAGGCTGGATGATGATTTTTTGGCTCTACAAAATGGCTTGGGAAATTTTGCAAGTTGTTTTTTACAACTTTGATTTTGTGTGGAAGATCATTCTTTGGGAAAGGAAAAGTCGAGGCGAAGGCCTGTGCCATTTTGTAGGGTCAAACTATCCAGACCCCCTTCCATCCCCTTCCTAGATTTTAGCTGTACCCTAATATCTATTCAATTCCCTGACTCCATCCCTGAATTTAAATTTCAAGGGGAATGTATATATATATGCGCATATGTGCGCACATGATCGCACATGCATACACATTTCGTGAATTTTCGTGATAGTTCATGTAACTACAGCATACTACAACTATAAACCGCCATATGCATATGTAGATAATTGATGAATATTGATGATAAGATATTTGTAAATAGGTTGTTTACTTTTCTAAGATTCTTTGTGGTTGTTCATTCGTACATTTGCCTATGCATATGCACGAACATTTGCGCGCGCAATGTTGTACAGTGATAGAATTATATAACTATACCAGGTACTCCTCGGCAGCGCTTTGGCGGAAGTTTCGAAAAAGAGCCGTGTCTCTAAGAGAATGTCTGTGGGATGCAGAATTAATGAAAGATTGGGGTTGCGAGGTGCGTCAAACGAATGAGCAAATGGTTGTCAAAACAATGAATAAGGTAATCAATGCAGAAGTCAGAGAAAAGAATGAATCAACCAATGAATGAGTGAACCAATGAACCAATGAATGAAGAACCAATGAAAGAAGGATTCAATACATCGAGGAATGAATAGGAATGAGTATATAAACCAAGGAATCAGTGATTTAATGAAAGAATGAGTGAATAAATCAATCAACCACTGAAACAATAAATGAATCAATGAATTCACCAAGAAATGAATGAGTTCATGAATTAACGACTTACAGTACTGAATGAATGAAGCAATGAACGCCTCAATGAACCAGTGAACTGATTTCTGGTTGAATCACTGAATGAATGAATGGATGAAAGAAATGAATTGAATGAATGGAATGAACGGAATAAATGGAATGATTGGAATGAATGGAATGAATGAAATGGCATGACATGACATGAAATGACATGCCATGAAATGACATGACATGAATGAATCAAGCAGGACATGGGCGAACATTTGACTGAACAAATGAATGAAAGAATCAACAAATGGGCTAACCAATAAATGAGTTAACCCATGAATGAATCAACGAATGCGTGAATGAATGAATGAATGAATGAATGAAATGGAATTGAATGAATGAATGAAATGAAATGAAATGAAATGAATGAAATGAATGACATGACATGAAATGACATGACATGAAATGAAATGAAATGAAATGAATGGAATGAATGGAATGGAATGGAATGAAATGAAATGAAATGAAATGAATGAAAGGAATGAAATGAAAGGAAATGAAATGAACTGAAATGACATGGAATGAATGGAATGAATGGAATGAAAGAATGAACGAACGAACGAATGAGTGAGTGAGTGAATGCATGCATGCATGCATGGGTGGATGGATGGATGAATAAATGAAGGAATGAAGGTATCAAGGAATGAATGAAGGAATGGAAGGGTTGTAAGAAATGGAATAAAATGAATGAAATAAAAGAAATGAATAACATGAAGTTACGCAAATGAAATTAGATGAGATTAATTAAGTAAAATCAAATGTAACATGAAACTAAATGAAATTAAATGAAATGATCTGAAAGTAAAATGACATGAAATGATATGAATGAAATGGAATCAAGTGAAACTGAATGAATTGAACTTAAATGAAATAAAGTGAAATGAATGAAATGAAACAAAATGAATGAACTGGAATGAAATGAAATGACATGAAACGAAATAAAATGAAATCAAATTAATGAAATGAGATGGAATGACATGAAATGAAATGGAAAGGAATGAACTGAAGTGAACTGAACTGAACTGAAATGAATGAAACGAAATCGGCTGGAATGGGATTAAATGAAGCGAAGTGATGAAATTTAAAAAAAAATGGTAAAATGAAGTGGAACGAAATGAAATGAATGAACTGAGATGTAATGACATGAAATGGAATGGAATGAACTGAAGTGCAATGAAACGAAATCAACTGGAATGGAATGAGATGAAATGAATGAATGAAATAAAACGAAATGAAATGAAATGAATGAATCAATGAAAAATTGAATCAATAAATGAACGAATGAATGAGTGAGTGAGTGAGTGAATGCGTGAGTGGGTGTGAAGGAGTGAATCAGTGCGTGAATGAATCAATGAGTGAGTGAATCAATCAATGGTCCAATGAGTGAAACAATGAAAGGTTTCATCAATCAATGAATCAAAGATAATCAAAGAATGAAATTGAAGCAGTGAATGAGCAAATGAATGAATTAAGGAATGAGTGAATCAATGAAGGAATGAGCGAACGAATATATTCGAAGGAAGTTTAGAAGTCAAACTTCCGACAATATGGACAGATGAAAAGCAGAGCAGGGCAGAGGCCGAGAGAAGAGAAAGATTAGAAGCGAGAAGATCAGAAGAGAAAGAGTCAGAAGAAAGAAGATGCAGATGCGCGAAAAGGTAGGAAAGTCGCGAATTTTCAATGATTTGAGGCTCCGGAGGGTCGAAAAGTAGGCTCGCTAAAGCGGCGGGTGCGGAGCCAGCTGGCCAGACGAGAGATGAAAAATTGAAGGCCGTTGTGGCGCGAAGCACATTTCCAAGTGAACATATACAAAACACCTCAGCGTCGGACCACTTTTGGAAGTTGCAATGTCGAAAAAGTGCACGCCGTTGTGGCGCGAAGCACAAAACCCACCATTCTCGGACCACTTTTGGAAGTTGAGATGTCGAAAAAGTGCACGCCGTTGTGGCGCGAAGCACATTTCGAAGTCAAAATGTTAAAAACACCAGGGTTTCGGACCACTTTTGGAGGTTCAGATGTCGCTTCGCCGCTTCGCTTCACTACACTACACACCACACTCCACTACACTTCACTACATTACACTACACTCCACTACACTACAACTACAACTACGACTACACAACTACACTCCACTACACGAAATTACACTACACTACACTACATTCCACTACACTACACTACATTCCACTACACTCCACTACACTACACTACATTACACTACACTACAATACACTGAATGACACTGCACCACAGATAGACAGGTAGACAGATAGACAGATAGACAGATAGACAGATAGACAGATAGATAGATAGATAGATAGGTAGACAGCTAGACAGATAGACAGATGAAAGAGAGAGAGAGAGAGATAGATAGATAGATAGTTAGTTAGATAGTTAGATAATAGGTAGATAGGTAGATAGGTAGATAGGTAACTAGATGAAAGAGAGAAAGAGAGAGATAGATAGCCAGAGAGAGAGATAGATACACAGAAGATAGATAGATAGGTAGGTAGATAGTCAGAGAAAGAGAGAGGCAGAGAGGAGACCTCAAGCACCTTTCGGTCCATCAGTGGATTCGCTTTGCCATCCCTGATTCACAACAACCAACCTCTCCTATAGGTTTCCTATTTTTGAAACTTCCGCCACCGCCTTGTGCGGTACTACTGGAAGCTATAATGAATGAGCTACTTCTTCACTGAGGCACCTTTTCGCTGAGGCACCCCTTCTCTCAACTAGTCCTTCTAACTCAGCTGCCTCTTATCTGGGCTACGTTTTCTCTGACCCGCTTCTGCTCTGAGCTGCCTCTCTCTCTCTCTCTCCCCAGCTCTTCTGTCTTCTGCAAGCCAGTTCTTCTCTTTGCGCAGCTCGCATCATGTGCTTCGCTGCAGCTGCCATCTTGCATAGCACGGAAGTGGCACTGCGCTCGCAACTCACAACCTACCCACCGCCGTTTAGGAACGTCCAGCTGCAATCCCGCATGGCAGGAGAGTCGGACCATCGCAAATGCTTGTGCGGGGCCGTGCCAATGCTTAATCGGATCCCGTGAGTTTTTTAAAAGGTTTTTCGTGAAATTGAGCTCGCGCTACAGTTGCACGCGCATTTTTCTAGCCTTATCTTCCAAAAGTGTTCCGAACGTGAAGTGAAAAGCGCGTTTAGAACGAAATCAAACTTTCGCTGCAGTCTCATGCGCTTTTCCGACCTCAGCTTCCAACAGTGGTCCGAGAATGCAAGTTTTTTACGTTTTTGGCGGCCCGCAAATCAAGCTCCCGCTACTCGTACAGTCCCCTCCACTTTGTTGTTGTTGTGTGTGTGTGTGGATGTGTGTGTGTGTGTGCGCAGTGTGCGTGTGTAAGTGTACATATATCACCGCAGCCCAGGACATGCAAATTTCTGCATTTTGTAATGCAGTATCACCAAAATATTGGAGTTCTTGCTGGCTGGAAGAGGCCTGTCCTGCATGCCGGTCAGTGTGACACATTGTGCGTATCTACATTCTGCACGTATCAAGCGCCAAGCAGCCAGTACCAACGGAGCGGCGTAGCAACGCACCGGCGCAAAGGAGATTGCGGACACATATCCCCACAACGCTGACAAGTATAATATGTTATTTACATCACACATGCATCAAAAGCATGCAAATGTAAATGCAGGAGTTTGAAAATGCACATGTAGACCGTCATGACTAACATATGTGCACTTATGCATGTTCATATATACACCTATGCACATACACATATCTATACATGCTTATATATTTTCCAGTATTTACCAATAATTTTGGTGTCAGTGATGCTCCTAGCGGCAATCTTGTAGTTGGGGAGAGTATATTGCCACGTTTTTTCCTCTACTCATGGAATCTGGACTGATTTAAGACGTGTAGGTGGTAAAGATGAAGGTGGGTTCATTATGGTTCACACACACACACGCACATATAGATATATATATACATACATACATATATTTGCACTGATTCCTGCACGGCATTGAGGTATTTGAACAGCCAGAATGCTCCTTTCGAGCTTGTCAGCCGCATCATGAAATTTGTGGATTATCGCCTGGAAAAGTGCCTGGGCAAAAAGTATGGTGAGAAGGTCAAGGTGCCCTTACTTCGGCTGAGGCATGACACAGCCCAGTGTTTTTTTTCTTTGAAAGTGGTAGTGACAGGTATTGAACTCGAGCCGCATTTGCATTTTCTGCCAGTTCGCATGCCGAAAACGTTGGTTCAAGTGTTGGCCCCCAATGGAACCCAAGCAAAATAGATTCTATCGGTGGGCCCCGGCAGAGCGGTGATCGAATACCAAACAATTCCCTGCAAGCCGTCAACAGGCAATGCGAGTACTGGGGAGGGTGTTTGTAAAACATGGAGTGGGTTAGAAGATGTGGCGCTGACAGGATGTCAAACATCAGCTTCGATGCCACATTGATCTCCAAGACTCTGCAGACGGAACTTTATGTAAACCAGTTGCTTGGACCACGCGAGTTTTGATTTGGGAAAGATACAACTATATTTATACATTATTCTTATATCATGACGTATAGATGTTTCGGTAATTGCATGTAATTACATACATGATACATTGATATACATTTTGATTATCTGAATAATCGAAGTAGCTTTCTGACCTGGACAACCAGGACAGGGAAAATGAGGGGGTTCGGGGCACTGCCTTGCCCCAGCATGCTCTGATTTCAGCCATTCGGCTGTGCCATGGTAGTGGTCCCAGAATGTCGCAGATTGAATGCACAAATATTGGTATCGGAATAGCAGATTTTGCGGTGCCACACTTTGTCACACCACTTGCAAGCAACTTCGCAATCGTGACTTCGCAATCATAATTACTTTCATCGGCGCAATTCTCATGGTCATCAGCAACAGCAGATGCATAAGCACCAGCAAAAGCACCACCACTATCTCGGAATAGTTGTTCTCATGCCCCAGATAAAACAAGTTTGGAAGGTCCTTGCACATCCGGAGCACTGTGGCGATTGAGGCGAAATGCATTCCTTGTCCAGCTGCCAATTTTCTCCTTGGCACAGGCCGTCTATCCAGACGTTTTTGCAGATCCTTGGTGGGGTGAGCAGATCTTTGCTGATATGAAGGAAGCTGTTCAGGTGCTTTGCTTTCCCGTTGTGATGAGAAGTGTACCAATGATTTTGCGATGCTTCTAGATGCTTCGAGGGGCAACTATCTGTAGTAAGCATCCTGGAATCTGACAGGACGTCTGAGGAGTAGTCACTATCTAGTCTACATCTATATCTACTGGATCTACTCTGATCCCTGCTGGAGCTATCAGCACTTCACTCCAGGAAGCAGCACGCATTTATCGTATAAACAACCAATCAACCTCAGACGGCTCAGACGGAATAAAGAACGCTTCCGTGGTCATGTTTCTGGCTGATCTCAGGATTTGTGCGCATGCCTGAGCAAGGACGTCTTCGAAAAAATTGAGTGACTTGGTGTGGGTAGTGAATGATGTGAATGGTAGTGAAGTGAGCGCTCAGAGTTTGCAATGGAGACTGCCATGGAAGAGTGTGAGATGTCATGTCGACTCTATACGTGGATCCTCATTACTGGTACCATATTTCATGCTCCGCTTCCTGGTTGACTTCGTGTTTCGGAGTTACTGCACCACACTGCACCACTTTCAAACGCCAGTACAGTAGCAGTTGAAGTTGCACAGTATCCACCACTGGGCACAATCCCAGCTGACACACTTAGCATACCTCAGAAATCTCACAACAAAGCCTGAGAAGCCCATGCTCAGGTCTGTCTACCTCCTTGGCTCGTGGGCGAAGGGAATGGTCATGACACTGAGCGGTTCCTTGGCACAAGATTCTGTGACTGCTGTGAAGCATCTGGAAGCTACAGCCCAAAGATTTCCAAAGAGGTTGGCCTTCTTTAGACTCTAGGCATCTCTAGGCATCTCTAGACCCTCAAGATGCAGGGAAGCTGTGTGCCTCTTTTACCCTCTTTTCAGGTACATTCACATATTCCGAGCCGGAGGCTACTGCACTATCCATTGAAGGAACAGCCTGGTTTGAAGAAGCAAGCTTGTATGTTGCAACCTGGCGGCACCTCCCAAGTGCATCCAGGTGCATAATGTCAGAAAACATTTGCATGATCGAGAAACACCTACACTGAGTCAGCAAACGCACGCTTGCTGGCTTTGGACAGACTCATCTGACTAATAGTTTATATTTATATTATTTTATGTGTACGTACATCTTTTGAGTATTTCCCAAGATTGTGGGAAAATCAATATACGGCGATGTTTTCATGAACGCGTGTGTGTGTGTGAGCGTGTCTGTGTGTGTAATTACATCTCTCCCTCTTTCTAGCCTGTGTCAATGTGTATCTGAACAAAAGTGCTCTTGTTTGTGTCACTGAGGATGGTATGCTTCACAACTCCTCGTTGGCTACAAAGACCTTTGGAGAGACCTTCCTTCTGAGTGGCGAAGCCACTCGTTGCTGATTGCTGCACATGTTGAGCAATTTGGATTTCATTGGCCTTTGGGGGTTCCCTGAGTTCTATATTCGTTCCGTGTTTGAGAGGATTCAAAAGTGAGGCCCATGCTTACACAACGAAGTCTCAGCACTCACCAGCCGAGGATTTGGTTCGTTGCCTTATCCACTCACCAGGCGAACTACCCTTGGCACACTTTTGAACTTCTGCTATTTGAATCCAAAAAGTGATGATTCGAGAAGCTCTGCCTAATCCCCAAGATAAAATTGTCATGTGTTTCCTTTGGGTATGAACTTAGGCTATTCCTGGGTGCTGTTGATTCCTAGCGTTGTTACGAAGTCCCAGCATCCGGACAAAGCTGGTCTCCCGATGGGACACCCAAATGCCGATCATCACAACTCGGCTCAGCCCCAAGTTGGCGGAGGCTGCACGAGGATGTTCTTGGAGTATGCACGTGACTTTGTGGCCAACCTCACCCGTGAAAAAGCAGACCCTTTTATTCGCGACACTCAGGCTGACAAAGGGCCACCTCAGGATACCTCAGGGCATCATCGAACATCCAAGATATCCAAGATCTTAAGTCTAGAGGCTTCTTCCCTGATTGACGTGTTCCTTCATCTCAATTGAGAAATGGAGCACCGAGCGAATCCGAGGGACTAAAACATGCAAAAATGCCAGACATGGCAGTGGTGTTGGTGACATGCAACAACATTCAGCAAGTCAAGCAGAGTGAACCATGGCCACAACGAACAAAAGTCACATAGGTCCATGTGCCCTTTCATAACAATTCGAGTGGTTCGTAATTTTATATACTTCTATATTTTTATAAACACACACATATATATATAATAGTGCATTCATGGCTTTGACTGTTTTGACTTGAATAGATATCTTTAAAAGAAAGTTGCAAGATACTTTGAATGCTTTTTTCATCAGTGCCTCTCGGCCAGATGAAAGCTGGAGAAAAAGCCTGCCTTTCCAATTTGCACTACCAGGAGCCGTTTTGCTGATTCGACTGGATTGTGTTGGCAATGACGGTGAGCCATGCAGTGGCCATGCAGGATTAGCCCAGGAAAGACCGCTGCAGTGGTCTGAAAAACTGCTGCGATACAAGTCCGTGCAAGAATTGTGTGTGTGTGTAACATCTAAATAGATGTAAAACCTCTCTCTTTTTCTTCCTTTGTCCTCTCCCTTCCTAATCCTAATATTAATGCAGGGGGACACAGCATTTCACTGGGACTGTGTCCAACGAAGCTACCAGTGAAATGGGATATCCAGCTTGGCCAGCTGGACGTACCTGCACTTTTTCGTTGCAATTTTGACTGACATGGCACGCGGCTAAGCCTAGAACCGCACAGCTGTGTTTTCACTTCACGGTTGTCGCAATCTGGTACTTAATCTGCACGTTACAGGATTCAGTTCCTGCCGGATCATATAATGATCCATTCTTATCTAGTGTGATTCCTATGGTGACTCCGACATGGTGCCATAGGGCCAATTGAGGCAACCCTGTTTGGGGTGAGTGTCGACTGACTTGAATTCCGAATTTACACATTTTAATCTGGTAATTGGTCTAAGTAAAGTGCAACAGTTGGCCTTACCGTTGTGCACCTTTTCACAAAGTCTCGCCGATCCGGCTGTCCCACATTTCCTCGCCAACGCAGTTCTTCAACTTTGCAGCCGTGCCGAACATCCAGAAACCTCTTTTTTTTCGCAGCAGCTTTTACAGTCACATTACAAGAGACAGAACGCAGGCAGGTACACGATCTTTAGGTGTGGTCTTCTTTCTTTTGATGGTTCTCTGGTGAGGTGAAACATATTGTGCACCTAATTCGTTGGAACTTGAAAGCCGTTTATGCCAATTGGGGCAAGACTTGACCACGGTCCCGGCAAGGGAATAACGCACGACTCGTAGGTAGTTAGGAACTGAGTCCTGTTGTTTTATTAATTGTTTTGGTTTTCTTGTCTGTCATCAACTAGTCCCCCATTTGGTCCCTAATTCTCCCCGTGTGCCTCTCCGTAATGTGTCGTGGGGTTTAGGTGTGTGCGCTGTTTTGGTCAGGTCCGTTTCGCCGTGTAGGTTGGTTTTTGAGGTCCGTTTGTTCCCCTCCCCCCCCCTGCGCTGTTCTAGCCTTCTGCCCGTCGTCTGTGTTCGCTTTTTTCTTCCTTTTGCCTTTCAGGGTTGACCCGGCTCCGGCCGGGTGTGTGTGTGTGTGTAACATCTAAATAGATGTAAAACTTCTCTCTTTTTCTTCCTTTGTCCTCTCCCTTCCTAATCCTAATATTAATGCAGGGGGACACAGCATTTCACTGGGACTGTGTCCAACGAAGCTACCAGTGAAATGGGATATCCAGCTTGGCCAGCTGGACGTACCTGCATTTTTTCGTTGCAAGTTTGACTGACATGGCACGCGGCTAAGCCTAGAACCGCACAGCTGTGTTTTCAATTCACGGTTGTCGCAATCTGGTACTTAATCTGCACGTTACAGGATTCAGTTCCTGCCGGATCATATAATGATCCATTCTTATCTAGTGTGTGTCTGTGTCTCAGTCAGTCAGTCAGTCAGTCTGTCAGCCAGCCAGTCAGTCAGTCAGTCACAGTCTGTCACAGTCTATCACAGTCTGTCACAGTCTGTCAGTCTGTCAGTCAGTCAGTCACAGTCAGTCACAGTCTGTCACAGCCTGTTAGGGTCTGAGTCTGTCAGTCAGTCTGTCAGTCTGTCAGTCTGTCACAGTCAGTCAGTCACTCTGCCACAGTCAGTCACAGTCTGTCATAGTTTGTTAAAATCTGTCACAGTCAGTCAGTCAGTCTGTCACAGTCAGTCAGTCAGTCTGTCACAGTCAGCCAGTCAGTCTGTCACAGTCTGTTGAGTCAGTCAGTCACCAGCCAGCCAGCCAGCCAGCCAGCCAGCCAGCCAGTCAGTCAGTCAGTCAGTCAGTCACACAGTCAGCCACAGTCGGTCACAGTTTGTCACAGTCTGTCACAGTCTGTCAGTCAGTCAGTCTGTCAGTCAGTCCGTCAGTCAGTCTGTCAGTCAGTCTGTCAGTCTGTCAGTCAGTCTGTCAGTCAGTCTGTCAGTCAGCCTGTCAGTCAGTCACTGTCTGTCACAGTCTGTCACAGGCTGTCAGTTTGTCAGTCTGTCAGTCAGTCTGTTTGTTTGTCTGTCTGTCGGTCTGTATATATATATATGTATGTATGTATGTATGTATGTATGTATTGTATCTGTGTGTGTGTGTGGGTGTGTGGGTGTGTTAGTGCTTGCATGTATTAGTGATATTAGCGCAATAGACGAGATTGTTTGAGAGGTGGTTTAAGAAGTCGTTTGTTGTGGATTATGGTTGCTAGTGGGAGACGGTTGTGATTTGCCAGATAGATGGCTCGGCCTCCTGCAGGAGCTATACCAAGATCCACGAAAGAAGCTTGAAAACATCCATACTGCAAGCTGGGTCAGAGGCGGGCGGAAATGGTGATGGAAATGGTAGTAGCAGGGTGGGCGAAGAGAACAATATAGATCAATCAATAAATATCCAGCTGATATTCTTGAGGGCTGCACAGCTTTGCAGGGTCTCCCAACAGCTTGAGGCGTGGCAAATTATGCTGATTAATTCTAAAGGTGGGGCAAGATATTGCCATTTTCTCCGTTGTTATCCATGAACGGTACCAGTTTTGGAATTTTGATTTGGCCAGCTTGTGGTGCAGAGACAGTTCCTAGCGATTCTGGCGATGGGCTGAACTTCACTATCCCAACTTATGCTTCGGGCAGTGTCAAGACCCACAACACTCCATGACCAATCTGGTTTGTCAGAAAACTGCATTGGCTTTTGCGAAGTCCAAGGTGCAATGTTCATTCACTTTGCATTATATAGATGAATCAAGAATAATTACTGAGGCATATGTAGATAGTTTCGAATCATTCTTTCGCAGGTGAAGCCCTACCACCTCTTTCCTCTGAGCAGGAGGCAGGAAGGTTAAAAGCAGCGTTATTATGCATTCTTTTGGGTATCGCGGGTATCGCATATGTTGCTCATTGCTATCGAACCCATGCCAAAGAATGCCATTAAATATCCCTTGCAAGATGACACCAATCAAAAACAGTCACGCAAAGCGAGAGGCTGTTGTGGTGTCGGGGTCCTACCGGAGTGCTTTAGAGCTTTGGGGTGCCTTACTTTGAGTTCGATTCTTTTGGGGTTCGGATCTTTTTGGCTGCGGTGGACCAATGATGGCCTAACATGGCTGGGAAAACTGAGATTGTTTAACGTTCAAGAATTGGTGTAAAATTGCGACTTTATCCATTTTGAAACGTCAGGCACAACCGTTTCGCGCGAAATAAAACTTATGTAGAATTGCGATTTGACAAGGTCAGGCGCAACCCTTTCACGCAAAATGATTGTCCAACGTCAATTGCAATTTTCCAACGCCGGATGCAGCCTTTTCGCACGATATGACGGCCGAACGTCTAAACTTACGTAAAACTGCGATTTTTTGAAGTGTGTAAAAGCTGCTCTGTCGAATCGGTTTTTCTGTGGGAAACCGTTTGTGTGTAAAGGCTTGTCTGTGCAAAAGCTTCTGTGCGTAAAAGCCTCCGTGTGTACAAGCTTCTGTGTGTAAAGGCGTCTGTGTGTAAAAGCTCCTGTGCTCAAAAGCTCTGTGTAAAAGCTTCTGCGGGAAAAGCTTGTGTGTAAAAGCTTCTGTGTGTAAAAGATTCTCTGTGTAAAGGCTTCTCTGTGTCAAAGCTTCTGCGATTCTCTGAAAAACAACCTGTGTCTAAAAGCTTTTGTGTGTATACGCGCGTATTTGTCAAAGCGTATCTGGGTAAATGCTTCTGTGTGAAAAGGCATCTGTGTTCAAAAGCTTCTGTGTGTAGAAGCATCTGCCGCACTGTGTGAAGAACTTTGTGTAAATGCCTCTATGTGTAAAGACCTGTCTGTGTAAAAGCTTGGGCATTTGCGTGTTTAAAGTTTCTGTGCGCATAAGATTGTATAAGCTGCTCTGTGCAAAGGCTTCTCTCTGTGGAAAAGCTTCGGTGTGCAAAAGCTGCTCTGTGTAAACCCTGCTCTGTGAACAAGCTTCTATGCGTAAAAGAGTCTGTGTGTAAAAGCTCTGTGTGTAAAGCTTTTGTGTGTGTGTGTAAAGCTTTTGTGTGTGTGTAAAGCTTTTGTGTTTGTGTAAAGCTTTTGTGCGTATGTGTGTGTAAATGCTTCTGTGTATAAAAGATGCCGTGTAGAGGCTTCTCTGTGTAAAAGCTTGTCTGTGCAAAGCTTATGTGTAAAAACTTCTGTGCGTAAAAGCCTGGGGGCGTCTGTGTGCAAAAGCTGCTCTGTGCATCTCTGTGTAAAAGTGTCTGTGTGTAGAAGCTGCTCTGTGTAAAGGCCTCTCTGCGTCAAACCTTCGGTCTGTAAGCTCTGTGAACAAGCTTCTATGCGTAAAAGCGTCGGTGTGCAAAAGCTCTGTGTGCTTTGTGCGTGTAAATGCTTCTGTGTATAAAAAAAAGATGCTCTGTTTAGACGCTTTTCTGTGTAAAAGCTTCTCTGTGTAAAGGCCTCTCTGCGTCAAAGCTTCGGTGTGTAAAAGCTGCTCCGCGTAAACGCTGCTCTGTGAAAACAAACCTGAGTGTAAAAGCTGATCCGCGCAAAGGCTTCTCTGTGTGAAAGCTGCTGTATGTAAAAGCCGTTTGTGCTCAAAGTTCCTTCCCGCAAACGCTTGTCTGTGAAAAAGTTTCTCTGTGCAAAATCTTTTCTGTGTAAAAGCTTCTGTGTGTGTAAAAGCTGCTCTGTTTAAAGGCTTCCCTGAGTAAAAGCTTCTGTGTGTAAAAGCTTCTGTTTGTAAAGGCACTTCTGTGCGAAAGCTTCTGTGTAAAAGCTTTCTTGTGAAAAGGCTGTAAAAGTTTCTGTGTCTAAAAGCTCCTTTTTGTAAGGCGTGTGTGTGCAAAAGCTCCTGTGTGTAAAAGCTTGGGCATCTGCGCGTTAAAGTTCCTGTGTGTAAAAACTTCTTGGTGAAAAAGCGTCTGTGTGTAAAGCTGGCCTGTGTAAAGGCTTCATGTGGTAAGGCTTCTTTAGAAAGGCTTTTCTGTGTAAAAGCTTCTGTATGTAAAAGCGTCTGTGTGCAAAAGCGCCTGTGTAAAGGCTGCTCTGTGTAAATCCCTCTCTGTGTAAAGGCTTCTGTGTGTAAAATCTTCTCTGTGTAATTTTCTCGCTGTTAAAAACAACATGTCTTTTGATTCTGACTGTCGCTCAGGTGCCAGCCCTGGAGCAAATCCTCTGCGGGGACAAAAGGGGCATGAAATCGTGGATATATGACATTTGACTCGCGTCAGCTATCATTCATCATCATCTCCATCGCCATTCATCCTCGTTATCGTCATCGCCATCATCATTGCCGTCATCATCATCACCATCATCATTTTTCTTGTGTAATATTTTCTCGTCTCCTCCCTCCTGCTTTCTTTCATGCCACGCTGTCGTCTATAGTGTTTTTATCCATGTGCGAGTGCCGTATCATTTTTTGAAGCAAGACTAGTTCTTCTATCTCTCCGTTCCGTTATTAGAACCATTCTTCAAACTTTGCAGTGTTGTTCAATGTTCTTGGAACCTTGCCTGGGCAACTGTTCTTGGACACGTTGCTTGACACTTGTTTATCGAAACCTTGCTTGGGAACCTGTTCTTGGGAGCCTTGCTTGGGAACCTGTTCTTGGGAGCCTATTCTTAGGAACCTGCTCTTGGGAGCATTGCCTGGTAACCTGTTCTTGGAAACTTCGCCTGCTTGCTTCAAACCTGTTCATTGGGACCTTGCTCGGGAACCGGTTTTTCGTAACTTCGCTTGGGAGCCTTTAGGAACCTGTCCTTCGGAACCTTGCTTGGGATTCTGTTCTTGCTTCCAACCTTGCTTGCAAATTTGCTTTGCAAGTTGTTCTTGGAAAAGCTGTTCCTGGGAACATGAGCAACCTGAAACCATGCTTGGGAACGTGTTCGTGGGAACCGTGCTGGCAACCTATTGCTCGGAACCTTCCTAAAGAATTTGTTCTTGGAACCCGAACCTGTTCTTGGGAACCTGTTCTTCGAACCCTTGCTTGAGAACCTGTTCTTGCGAAGCTTGCTTGCAAACTTGTCCTTGGGAACCTTGCTTGGGGACCTGTTCGTGGAAACCTTGCCTGGGAACCTGTTCCCAAGGACCTTGCTTGGTAACCTTGCTACCCTGCAAGGAAACCTGTTCTTGGAACCCTTGCCTGGGAACTTGAGGCGCTGTTCTTGGAACCCTTGCTTGTGAACCTGTTCTTGCGAACCTTGCTTGGGAACCTGGTCTTGCGAACCTTGCTTGGAAACCTGTTCCCAGGAACCTTGCCTGGAAACCCCTGGCTTGCGAACCTATTCTTGGAAACCTGTTTTGCAACCTTTTCTTGGAATTGGAAACCTGTTCCTGGCAACCTTGCTTGGGAACCTGTTCCTGGGAACCTTGCTTGGCAACTGTTTCTGGAACCCTTGCTTGGGAACCTTGCCTGGGAACCTGTTCTTGGGAACCTGGCTTGGGAATCGTTCCTGGCAACCTTGCTTGCGAACCTGTACGGTTCCCAAAAACGGTTCCCAAGCAAGGCCCCAGGAACCGTTTCCAAGCAAGGTTCCAAGCAGGAACAAGGCTCGCAGGAACAGGTTCTCAAGCAAGCGTTCCCCGGAAGAGTTGGTTCCAAAGCAAAATTTCCAGGAGCAACTGGGAACCCATGCTTGCGAACCTCTTCCTGGGAACCTTGTTTGAGAACCGCTTCCTAGCAACCTTGCTTGAGGAGCTGTTCCTGGGAACCTTGCTTGGGAACCTTTTCCTGGAAACATTGCCTGGGAACTTTTTCCGGGAACCTTACTTGTGAACCTGTTCTTGGAAACTTGTTTGGGAACCTGTTCCTGGGAACCCGTTGCTGGGAACCTTGCTTGGGAACCTCTTCCTGGGAACCTTGCTTGGGAACGTGCTTGGGAACCTTACTTGTGAACCTGTTCTTGGGAACCTTGTATGGGCACCTGTTCCTGGGAACCTGTTCCTGGGAACCTTGCTTGGAACCTCTTGGGTGAGCTTCAACCACGGAGCTTGTCATAGTCATAGTATGTCATAGTGCATTTGAGAAGTTTGAGGCAGCTGTAGGTTGTAACCTGTACCAAAACCTCAATCAAGACTGATCAAGCTTCCAGAGAGGCATTGCTTTTCGTCGCATCAATACAGCACAGATTGCGAAGCAGAGCCGGTCCGCAACTCCATCTTCAAAGGCTTCTAGCAGACAGGATGCGCAACTAACTTATATAGTGTATTGTCAGCTGTTAGCCATAGGCAAAAATACGCAGAAAAAACTTGCTGTCAACGGTACTTTCTGCAGATGCAAAAAAAGAACCGTGCATCGCACCCTTTTCTATTCACTTTGCCTCAGCGCCTGGATACCGGACTCGCCATACTTATGTGGCAATATTCACCGCTCCTCTCCGCACAACTTGATTCTTCAACCTTGCAAACTACAGTGAATGGACGATGAAGACAGTCAACCCCAATCCCTTTCAGAGCTTTTACTTGGATTGTCTGATTGGAAATGATCGGCATTAGTGGACACAAGATCGAACCCTCAATGCAAAGAGCTTCACATGGTTTTGTCGAACGTTGAAATCTGGGGTGTGCGAGGTTTCACTTTCTAGATGCCGTTGTGCGTTGATTTTTTGTCCATCTACTTTTTCTTCTCGACCCCAAGTTTCTTTTTTCACGCTTCTTGTTCCAGAATGATCTTGAACAAGTTGAATACATGCTCAACTGCTTCCCCTTTTGCCCACAGAATCCCCGGTGACGAGCGGCTCCTTCACACGAAGTTGAGTGAACCCCCATGAAACTAAGCCATGTCATTCTGCCATCATATTCTCTACGGTCGATTTTTTGAAGTGGTGGAACATGGTGGAACTGATTGGCTGCATGGGTTGGGGTGGTCAAGGCCATCGATGGGAATCGTTTCTGCCAGGAGGCTGGTTTGTTAGCAGGGCGGCATACGCGCCGCGCCAGCTTCTTTGGTGGTGTGACACGAAATAGCGGCAAACAGCAGGCGAGATGTACCAAGGGAAACGGGCTGCGCGCGAGATCTCGACGGGGGCACCGAGATGCGCTGAGCCACAAATTCCATCAAATTCCTCAAGATGATTCAATATTGTAAAAGGAGGGTTATGATTTCTTAACAGTGCAATTTGGGCTCCCCAATTCTAACGGATTCCTATAGTTTCCTAAAGGGCAAATGTTTTTCTGGATTTTTTTGGTGGAGCGCCAGTCTGACCAGTTTGGTGGCAGAAGTTTGAGTCAAGTCCTTTCAAGGCCGCAAGATGCATCAGGCCATGCAACCACTCACTGTGTACCATACCACGCACATTGCCCAAGCACGGGGGAAGTACTCAAATCAAAGGTATGAATCGATACTGTAATAGGAGATTTGAATATAAAGAATTACGTGTGTGTATGAGTATGTGTGTGTGTGTGTAAAATAAATATATGTACTATAGTTACTATAGAAAATCCCATCTCAAACCATGTAGCAGATCCCACCTTCACCCAGATTCCAGTAGCTCCAATCGACGCATAGGAAGCAGGGAGCTGGTTAATGCGTCGCCAAGAGTCTTTTGGCTCGGCGAATGAGAACTTGAGGATTCAGGCGGCAGGGGATCACCAAATGTCATTGGTATGCCAACAGGTTGCCAACGGCGTATGCCATGGTTTGAGTGGGTTGAACATCATTGAACTCCTAGCAATCTAGCGCGATGTCCTGCAATTTCCTGCAGCGTTTATTTCATTCAAATTCCGGTCTTATGATGTGCTGGACATTGGAATGAATATAAGCGCCGAACAAACACCAGCATCGTTAGTACTTAGACAATTAGCATTTATAAGTTGCTTTGCACATTGCGTGTTTGTTCGCAATTTGGTGTGATTGTTCATGCGTGTATACAATAACCGAAGGAAGTTTAGAAGTCAAACTTCCGACAATAAAGCAGAGATGGGCAGAGTCAGAGAAGAGAAGAGAAGCAGAAAGAAGATCAATAAAGAGAAAGTCTCAGAAGAAAGAAGATCCAGGTGCGCGAAAACGCAGGCAAGTCGCGACACACTGTGTTTTCCAAGGATCAAAATGACCAAAATGTACAAAACACTTCAGCCTCGGAGCACTTTTGGAAGTTGACATGTTCAAAAAGTGACGCTGTTGTGGCGCGAAGCACATTTCGAAGTCAAAATGTGCAAAGCACCAGATGTTCGCGCCACTTTTGGACCTTGAAGCGTTGTTTTGTGTGGCAGGCGCCAGGGATTCTCCACCCTGCCAAAAGTATCCAAAAGTGAGCAAAACATGAGGGTTTTGTAGCAGTTTCAAAAACGATGGCAGGCGTGGGACATTTGAAAAGGATCTGGAAAGATGCATTTCGCGTGGCAGGCGCAGTACAAGAGACCTGTTCATCAGAGATGTTAGGAGGTCAGGGCGCTGATCTCCAGCGAAGGGTTGCATTTTGGAGCATCAGATCTTCAGGTTTGCTGAGATGATTTTGCGTGACAGGTGCAGCACTTCGTATGACCTGGCATCACTTTTTCGTGGCAGGCGCAGTACTATAGACAGGTGCGGTGGAGTGGAAAATCGGAAAATGCATTGGCACGAGGCCGTCAGCTCTGCACTCAACTTTCCATTTTTGAACTAAGTCTTGCAGAATTGTTTCGTTTTGATGTTGTCAAGTTCAAAAATTGAGGAAGTCTCGCAGACGTGTTTCGTTTTTGACGTTGTCAAGTTCAAAAATTGAGGAGGTCTCGCAGAATTGCTGCGTTTTGGATGTTGTCAAGTTCAAAAATTGAGGAAGTCTCGCAGAATAGATTCGTTTTCAATCTTGCAGATAGATAGATAGATAGATAGATAGATAGGTAGGTAGGTAGGTAGGTAGGTAGAGATAGAGATAGAGATAGAGATAGATATAGATAGATAGAGATAGATAGAGATAGATAGAGATAGATAGAGATAGATAGAGATAGATAGATAGAGATAGATAGAGATAGAGATAGAGATAGATAGATAGATAGATAGATAGATAGACAGACGGCTACAACTACAACTACAACTACCACTACACTACACTACTACTGCTACAAATACAAAGATGTTAGGATAACATTACACTACACTAATTAAAGGGCTGCCGCCCCCTGCGGGCAACCCCAGAAAAGAATCCGCGGTCCCGGCTGCTGCTTGAGTTTCGGAGAAGGAGGTGATTTGTAAGATGGGAACAATAAAGCATCCAGACAATGACAAATTTATATGGCCATATCGAAAAAAGGCACAGAAACAATGCCGGATGCACATGCCGCCGGGAAAGGTGGTACGTGATGGCACCACTGCACGAATAACACAGCTAGCTTCCAACGTGCTTGCGTCCTTGTGCCGCTCGCTTTCGTCTTCTTAAGCCAGCGGTCCACAGTGCCAAACGTCAAGTGACGCGAAAGTAGCTCCAAACCTTGACTTTGCCTGCCGTTCTGCACTGCCCTGCCAGCTTCCCAATTGCTTGCGTCCTCTTGCAGCTGGCTTTCGTCCTGCACAGCTCGGGTCCAAGGAACTTGTCGCATGCCTCAAACACCATGGCAGTGAAGGACGAATCGGGCCCGCGGCCGGCAGCCCATACTGCCAAACGTTGCTTTCAAGAACTGCCGAGAAACTAGCTTCAAACCTCGCTTTTTCCTGCCATCAGCTCGGGTCCAAGGACCCTAGTCGCAGGCCTCAAACACCATGTGGCAGCCCGTACTGACTAACGTTGCTTTCTAAATTGCCTAGAAACTAGCTTCAAACCTTGCTTTTTCCTGCCGTCAGCTCGGGTCCAAGGACCTTGTCGCGGGCCTCAAACACCATGGCAGTGAAGGACGGATCGGCCCGCCGCCGGCAGCCCGTAGTGCCAAACGTTGCTTTCTGAACTCCCTAGAAACTAGCTTCAAACCTTCCTTTTTGCTGCCGGCAGCTCGGGTCCAAGGACCCTGTCGCAGGCCTCAAACACCATGGCAGTGAAGGACGGATCGGGCCCGCGGCCGGCAGCCCATACTGCCAAACGTTGCTTTCTGAACTGCCTAGAAACATCTACAAACTAGCTTCAAACCTTGCCTTGTCCTGCCGGCAGCTCGGCGACGGGCTTCAAACACCATGGCACTAAAGGACGGATCAGGCCCGGGGCCGGCAGCCCGTACTGCCAAACCTGCCTAGAAACTAGCTTCAAACCTTGCTTTTTCCTGCCGGCAGCTCGGGTCCAAGGACCCTGTCGCAGGCTTCAAACACCATGGCAGTGAAGGACGGATCGGGACCGCGACCGGCAGTCCAAACTGCCAAACGTTGCTTTCTGAACTGCCTAGAAACACCTTGCCTTTTCCGTGAAGGACGGATCGGGCCCGCGGCTGGCAGCCCGTACTGCCAAACGTTGCTTTCTGAATTGCCTAGAAAACTAGCTTCAAGCTCGGGTCCAAGGACCCTGTCGCAGGCCTCAAACACCATGGCAGTGAAAGACGGGCCGGCAGCCCGTACTGCCAAACGCTGCTTTCTGAACTGCCTAGAAATTAGCTTCAAACCTTGCTTTTTCCTGCCGGCAGCTCGGGTCCAAGGACCCTGTCGCAGGCCTCAAACACCATGGCAATGAAGGACGGGTTGGGCCCGCGGCCGGCAGCCCATACTGCCAAACGTTGTTTTCTGAACTGCCTAGAAAATCCTAGAAACATGTAGAAGCTAGCTTCAAACCTTGCCTTTTCCTGCCCGCAGCTCGTGTGCAAGGACTATGTCGCAAGCTTCAAAAGCAGTGAAGGACGGATCGGGCCCGCGGCCGGCAGCCCATACTGCCAAACGTTGCTTTCTGGATTGCCTAGAAACTAAACCTTGCTTTTTCCTACCGGCAGCTCGGGTCCAAGGACCCTGTCGCAGGCCTCAAACACCATGGCAGTGAAGGACGGATCGGGCCCGCGGCCGGCAGCCCGTACTGCCAAACGTTGCTTTCTGAACTGCCTAGAAAATCCTAGAAACATGTAGAAGCTAGCTTCAAACCTTGCCTTTTCCTGCCCGCAGCTCGTGTGCAAGGATTATGTCGCAAGCTTCAAAAGCAGTGAAGGACGGATCGGGCCCGCGGCCGGCAGCCCATACTGCCAAACGTTGCTTTCTGGATTGCCTAGAAACTAAACCTTGCTTTTTCCTACCGGCAGCTCGGGTCCAAGGACCCTGTCGCAGGCCTCAAACACCATGGCAGTGAAGGACGGATCGGGCCCGCGGCCGGCAGCCCGTACTGCCAAACGTTGCTTTCTGAACTGCCTAGAAAACTAGCTTCAAACCTTGCTTTTTCCTGCCGGCAGCTCGGGTCCAAGGACCCTGTCGCAGGCCTCAAACACCATGGAAGTGAAGGACGGATCGGGCCCGCGGCCGGGAGCCCATACTGCCAAACGTTGCTTTCTGAAGGACGGATCGGGCCTGCGGCCGGCAGCCCATACTGCCAAACGTTGCTTTCTGAACTGCCTAGAAACTAGCTTCAAACCTTGCCTTTTCCTGCCGGCAGCTCGGGTCCAAGGACCCTGTCGCAGGCTTCAAACACCATGGCAGTGAAGGACGGATCGGGCCCGCGGCCGGCAGCCCATAGTGCCAAAAATTGCTGTCTGAACTGCTTATGGAAACTAGCTTGACCCTGTCGCAGGCCTCAAACACCATGGCTAGCTTGCCCCCCTTCTCTGACGCGCTCTCCCTGCTGTCGACAGGGGTCGGCGGATTACACTGCACTACACTAAATTACATCTAACTACGGTAACGACATTTTTCTATGTGGAGGGCGGACCAGATCGCGAGGCCTAGGAGTACTAGGAGGTAGTATAAAATACCAGTTCGTATATTTAAATGTAGTTACCCTATGTTTAAATGAATTGGGTTCCGTATGTTTAAATGGCCGGGCAGGCCAGGGAAAACCTTCCCAGAGGTAGTCTAAAATACTTGTTCGTATATTTTTAAATCCGTTTAAATGTCGTTACCGTACATCCAAGTACATCTAATTAATTTCATCTAATTACACCTAACTACATCTAATTACATCTAAATCATCTAATTACAATACACTGCACTACATTACAATACACTACAACTACAATTACAACTGCTCTACACCACACTACATCCAGCAGCTGTGGCGGGGTGACCGCCGGGTGACCACTGCAACCATTCCAACCATTCCAACAATCACAACTCCAACCACCTTTCGGTCCATCAGTGGATTCGCTCTGCCATCCGTGATTCACAACAACCAACCTCTCCTATAGGTTTCCTATTTTTGACACTTCCACCACCGCCTTGTGCGGTACTACTGGTATATATATAATATATATACGGTATCGACATTTAAATATATGGAGAGCGGGCCAGACCGCGAGGCCCCGGAGGTAGGATGAAACAGAAGTTCGTATATTTAAATGTACTTGCCGTATGTTTCAATGAATGGGATTTCGTATGTTTAAATGGCCGGGCGGGCCAAGGAAAACTTTCCCAGAGGTAGTCTAAAATACTTGTTCGTAAATTTTAAAATCCGTATATTCAAATGTAGTTACCGTATATATATTATATATATATTTATTTAATTTTATATTCCCTGGAATATACGTAGTGCATGCATACATACATACATACATACATACACTCATAGTTTGTAAATGGGATCGGATCCCCAAGTACACTGGCAGCTGCTCCCAAGATCAAGCAAAGCGGTTGTTTTCCTCGACCACACAGCACAAAGGCACAGGTGACTTCCAAAGGCAGCTGGATTGCACGGCAAAGGCCGAAAGGCCACAAGTAAGCACCCTGGCTTCCAAGAAGCGTCCTCGCTCCACTCCAAAATGGCTTCAGCACACGTGAATCCCTAGCCCGCCCACCTCTGGCACTCCTGTGCCGATGTGCTAGTGAGAGGACATGTTGGTTCCTTAAGTGGATCAAATGAGGTTTCAGCAACACGGGCTACTGGACAATAGAACAACGAAGGAAGGCCACACAGAGCTCGCCTGAACGAGATAGATGAAGACAAACATGTCAGGATGAGATATCTGACCACTGGCTGATGCAACGAGGTGGAATCACAATATGTGTATATATATATGTGTGTGTGTGTATATGCATAGTATATGCATATCATATATGCATGGTATATACCATAAGTATATACATATGGCAACCCCAGAGGCACAGAAACGCGATTCACTATATAATGTTGAAGTATGTTTTTATTTCATTTTTTCTTGAATGCGCATCCTGGGTTTGATTTGCATTGTATATCCTTTATCCGTCGTGGCGCCCATTGCAGACATGTGCACAGGCCTCGGTGTTGTCTAGTGAAGCGGACAGAGAATTTGGGCTCCGCAAGTTGATCGAGGCTGTGGCTGTGGGGCATGTTCAGCAAATATCAGCACTCTCATCACGTGATAGCACTTGCTGATCTGCTGGGCCATCTGGTTGTAGGCTGTCATGGAAACAACATCCGAAGCCGCATCGAAGACGGACGATCACCCTGAAGCATCATGTGAGACGTCCGCGTCTTTAGGGGGTTTCTTTGAAGAGGATCAGACACTGGCGTCAAGGATAGTGTCACTTGGTTGCTTGGGAACCTCACCTTCGTAAACTCCCTGTGCATCAGTTTGTCATGTTATCCACGAGGGAACTTTCCGGCCGACAGCGGAAACCTTTGGGATTCTGCAGATTCTTAAAGGTTATACATAAGCGCCCGCATAATTTGATCTGTCATTGCAGCAGTCCGTTTGAAGATGTCCCAGCTACCTCGAGTGATCCTCGAGCTGAGGTCTGCCATTCCAGAGCTAGACAAACGCTACGGGCCATACATCCTATTTGATCAGGCCAGCTGTGCCCCTGGCAAACCAGTGTGGAAAGACCATCATTTGCGCCAATTGCTGCAGAACCCCTGACATTTTTCAGCATGTGCTGTCTATTGCCAATTATGCAACTCACCGCTCTTGTCCAGGAAGCTGAGCGTGGACGAGCAGAGTCGAGTTGCATCAGTTTATTGGCCTTGCTTGGAAAGCACTTCGAACCTTGGCCGCCTTGGCCGCCTTGGCCTACTGTGAGATGAGTTTGGGAAATCTTAGCGCTTCCCTGACCACCAACTCAGGATTGTGTAGTTTTTCCATGTTTTTCCTCCTGTGGTGCTCAAGCTACCCTTGACCAATCTTGGATTAGTTTTATGATGTTTTTATGGCTGGATAAATGATAGTCTCCGATAGTATTGAAGCCCCCTGCGTGCCTGGGGCCGCTAGCACGAAACACATCAAAGCAAAACTGATTAAGCAGTTCACTGCAGTTTCCATGTTTTATCTGTTTTGGATTCCTTGATGCTAATATAAATTAATATAATATAATATATATATATATAAATTGATCCAGTTCCAGCCTTTGGAGTTTGGAGCTGGCTTGAGCTTGGGGAGCCTAGGACATTTTCACCTCGCCCCAGCCAGCGCGCCAAAAACTCCTCCAACGACAGTGGCAAGAGCTACTTGAGATTGTGGAGTGGATCTCGCCCACTCAGGAGCAGGTGCTGGGCTGGTGCAATTGCCAGTTTGTGGGAATTTCAGTTCGCGTGGGCTAGTTAGATTGTCGTTCCGGTGGGCTTTCAACCTAGCTGGGCCATGTAGGATGTTTAGCGTCGCACTCATTATGTGTTTGGCTTCAGCATGCGCTGACTTGGATTTTTACATGGGAAATGGTTCAGGCTATACGAGCTATATATGGTGTGTATGTAACATTCTACCCGAAGATACCCGAAGTAGTTCTCACTCAAGTTTTGGCAGTATAAATCAATACAAATGATTCATGTGTAAGCTGTGAACCTCCTTCCTGCGATGAACATCCGGAACGAGAAGTGCTCACCGAAAGTTCCACAGCATGTTAATTCAGATTTGACTTCGCTCTCAACATCTCTCAACATCTCTCAACATCTCTCAACATCTCTCAACATCTCTCAACTATATAGCTAGAACATAGCTAGTACTCGTGCTATATGATGAGTTACAGATGGTCAGCAATAGTTCCGACCATCCAACTCTGTACGAGCGCCATCGAGCGCCTTCCGTTTTTGAATATGTTTGGCCCCTGTCACACGAGCTATCCTGGCATGCCACACTAATCCCGAGGTGCTGCACAGTAAGCTAGATTTTTAAAATGTCAAAATTCTTCTGCTTTCTAGCCTGCTCCTGGCAGAGAATGCATGAACGAAGCCGGATACTGTGCCGACTCTTCCGGAGCGATGCCAGGTGCATGGGGTGTTGGTCCTCTTGGCCATCCGTGGCATTGTCAAGGCCAAGGCAAGGCTGGTACAAGATGCCAGCTGCCAGCTGAAGGATGAAAACATCCTATGGGTCCCAGTGCAACAGTCGCTGTATGTTGGAATGCCGGCACTGCATGACCGAAAAGTCATTTTGTAAAATTTGGATGAATTTGGATAATTTGGTGAATTGATCTGAGCTTGTGATGCTGCTTTTTCTTGGCAATGCGATGCTCCAGGCAGTGACACGGCAAATCCCAAAGCCACACAGGCGCCCAGAGCGTGCCATCACCTTCCTGATGGAATGCCACTCACTGGCAGATGAATCGGCCATGACTAAACGGAGCTAAGACTAGTCGCAGAGTCGTGCTTTGAATCCTGGAAAAAAACAACATAAATATCTAGAATCTAGACTCAAAACATCTCACAACCAGACTGCAACTTGGATCCATATTGGAATTTCTTGAGGGAATCATCCAAAATTAAGTTTTAGCCTGTGCTGTCATTGCTCTAAGGCTGTCAGCAGGCCGTACCAAGTGCCACGCATTTGAGTGACAAAGCCATGGAAGTGATCAAGAGTGCATTGGAGGTGCACGAAACCTTCAACTTGGCACAGTTACTTGGATCGCTTGAATCACAACCGCGCCCCTGATGCTGTTGCATGTGGGAACCGCTTGGAATCATGGGATCTCAACTCCAGGATACTCCAAGCCATAGATCCAAAACATTGTATGGTTGCAAAATGTTGCGCAAATTGGCGCAGTACTATTCCAGACGGCAGCCGAGGATGCTCCAGGGTGAGAACGTCCCTGGAAGTGTGGTGAAGCTGAAGGAATTGATCAGAGATGCAGAAGGGGAAGAGGTGCCCGGGTTGAAGCAAAGCTTAGTTGAGGCCTTTGGTCGAATTTATTGAAACCTCACGTAGCAATGGATTTCAACCCTTAAGTCTCAACTTGATAGTACTTTAATATACTTTAATATACTTTAATGATCACAGCTGTGTGCGCGAGATCGTTGAAAGAGCGTGGATCTTCCGTTTGGTTTTTAGATTATACTGCGTGCAAGTGCAACTGAATGCAACCCTGCGCTGCAAGATATGCAGGCCCTCCGCAATTATATGCTGTTCCTGCTTGGCTTCATGAGTGGCGTATCTGGTGGCGAGGGCTCGAGGCATCGTCAGCTGATGTCAGCTGATGTCAGCTTCGTAGCTTCGTAGGTCGATCTCCTCAAATCCGCATTGCCAGGTTCATGAATGCTAAGAACGCCGAAGGTGCCATGGCAGAAATAGGTGGGAGACCTCGTCCACAGGGCGCCAAGGATGCCGATTGGAGGCCTTCAATCACTTACCCACAGGCAACATGTGGCAACATTTGGAACCAGAGAATTCATAGAGAATTGATGAACATTATTGAACATTGCCATAGCTTATCATTGCCATTTTGCTTCGGCTCGGAATCACTGCCCCTTCACCAAGGATTCATTGCTGGGGTTCGAATGCTGCAGCAGCTCACGTCGAGCACCCCTCGCGGCATCTACTGGGGCTTCCTGGTGGTGGCTTGGAGTTTAACATAGTTTGACAGTTTGACTGTGTGACCGAATACTGAAGCCATGTACAGTAACACTCAGTAACCATGTATGTCTACATATAATATAATGTGTGTGTGTATGTGTGTGTGTGTGTGCGACCAATCGCCTTGCCTGTCATTGTCGTCATTAAACTGTGTTGAACATTTGCCAACTGAATTTCTTGGCAGTACAGTCTAGACAGAGGGATCAGAGGGACAGGAGGAGTGTGCAAAAAGAGGAGGGAATTGTGTGAATTGAATTGTGTGGATTCTAACGATTCCTCCTACAGCGTGCCGGACGAGCACTCTGAAACCCGACTTGGATGTGCATTCCAGCTGGTAAATGGATGTAAAACTTGAATATCACGAAAGCCAGCCGGTAGGCTAGGTGAAGTTCCTTTCGCGAACAAAGTGAGTTATAGGGGGTCGGGGGGTAGAGCGTGCCAGGAGTGGACAAAATCACGGAAATAGGTCCAGTGGAGGCCTACCAATTGGATCCAATTGGAACTTTTTTGAGGGTTATGTACAAGGTGGCAATTGGGTGACGGTGGGGTATCGATTCCCCCCTGGTCCGTCCTCCGAGGTGCATTTGGGGAGACTGGAATGGAAGGGTAAAATTGTGGAGAAGTCGAATAAAAATGGAAGATCCATGGAAAAATTGAGTAAAACCATGTGAAAATTGGGTAAACCATGGAAAATGGAGTAAAACTATGGGAAAATGGAGTCATGGAAAAATCGAGTAAAACAAAAGAAAAATTGAGCAAAACCATGGAAAAATCAAGTAAAACCACAGAAAAATTGAATAAAACCATGCAAGAATCGAGTAAAACCATGGAAAATCGCGGAAAATGGTTTGCCGTCGGAGGTGCATTTGGGGAGGCGTTAGACACACTGGAATCGAAGGGAGTGCTTAAGCAGCTTCTGTCAGTAGTTGGGCTTTGTTCTTGTCGACTTGTATTTGTTGGGCTCCGATGTGGGACCATTATGGTCGCAAAGATCAGAAGGAACTTCTGTCAGCATAGTATGCTTTGGGAGAGAGTGGAATAGAATAGAAGGGAGTCAGAGGAAAAGGCATTGCTTGAGGAACTTCTGAGGAACTTCTGTCAGTATAGGATGTCGACGAGAATGTAGCCATCTACGTTTATTTGTTGGGCTCCGATGTGGGACCATTATGGTCGCAAGGGTTAGAAGGAATTTCTGTCAGTATAGGTGGGCTCCGATGTGGGACCATTATGGTCGCAAGGGTTAGAAGGAACTTCTGTCAGTATAGGTGGGCTCCGCTGTGATTGTGGTCGCACGGATTAAAAGGAACTTCTGTCAGTATAGGGTGTGGACGAGAATGTACTCGTCGACTGGGGTTCCTATGTCGGACCATCAGGGTCGTAAGGATTAGAAGCAACTTCTGTCAGTATACGATGCTTTGGGAAAGACTGGAATAGAAGGGAGTCAGGGGGAAAGGCATTGCTTGGAATGGTCGCTGGAGGATGTGGACGAGACTGTAGTGACCGACTTGTATTTGTTGTGTTCTGTCGGCACGGGATGTGAAATCAGCAAGCTTTGGAGAGGGGTGTTAACATAGCAGAAGATGAGACTGCTGCGTCGGCTCCGTCAATGCTTTTTGCATTTTGTTGGTGAAATTAGGAAGCTTTGGAAAGGGGTGACGAAAATATGAGGTGAGGAGGGCAGAGGTAAGGGTCCGTGAATGGAGGCACAGTCACTATGGAGAAGAAACTTCTGTCGGTATAAGCTGTGAAATTAGGAAACTTTGGAAAGGGGTGATGAAAATATGAAAATATGAGCGTAAGGATCCCTGAAAGTCTGAGGGCGAAAAGTTTGCGGGTTAAAAATCTGTGGGTGAAAAGTCTGTGGAAGAAGAGTCTCTCTCTGGGTGAAAAATATGGGTGCAACGTCTATGGGTGAAAAGTCTGTGGGTGAAAAATGTGACAAGGCTGTGCGTGAAAAAGTCTGCGGGTGAAAAGTCTCTGGGCGAAAAGTGTGTGGGTGAAATGTCTATGGGTGAGAAGTCTGTGGGTGAAGAGTTTCTGGGCGAAAAGTGTATGGATGAAAAAGTACTAAAAATGGCGATTCTCAATAGTTATGTTAGTTTACTAGAGGGTACCGGGCCTTCAACGTCTTCTTCTGCATGGTGACACCACTTAGATTCGCCAGCGCCTGACCCCAGAGATGCCACTATGGGTCCAGGCTTCAAAATGGAGCATGAAACAAGGCCAAGACGCAATAAAAAAAAACGCCAAATAATGTCCAACTTATGCATAGACATTGTCGAAGGAAGTTTAGAAGTCAAACTTCCGACAATATGGACAGATGAAAAGCAGAGATGGGAAGAGGCAGAGAGAAGAGAAGAGTAGAAGAGAGCAGATCAGAGAAGAGAAAGAGTCAGAAGAAAGAAGATGCAGATGCGCGAAAAGGTAGGAAAGTCACGAAACACTGTATTTTTCCAATGATTTGTGGCTCCGGAGGGTCGAAAAGTAGGCTCGCTAAAGCGGCGGGTGCGGAGCCATCTGGCCAGATGAGAGATGAACAATTGCACGCCGTTGTGGCGCGAAGCACATTTCGAAGTCAAAATGTACAAAACACACCAGGTCCGGACCACTTTTGGAAGTTGAGATGTTGAAAAAGTGCGCGCCGTTGTGGCGCGAAACACATTTCGAAGTCAAAATGTACAAAACACACCAGCTTCGGACCACTTTTAGAAGTTGCGATGTCGAAAAAGTGCACGCAGTTGTGGCACGAAGCACATTTCGAAGTCAAAAGTGTAAAAAAAATTGACGGGTACGGAGCACTTTTGGACGTTGAAGTTGAGATGTCGAAAAAGTGCACGCCGTTGTGGCGCGAAGCACATTTCGAAGCCAAAATGTTAAAAACACTAGGGGCTCGGACCACTTTTGGAGGTTCAGATGTCGTTTCGCGTGGCAGGCGCAAGGGATTGTGCAGCTTGTCAAAAGTGAGCAAAACGTGAGGGTTTTGTAGCATTTCCAAAAAGGATGGCAGGCGTGGGACAATTGAAGAGGACCTGCAAAGATGCATTTTCCGTGGCAGGCGCAGTACAAAAGACATATTCATCAGAGATGTTAGGAGGTCAGGGCGCTGATTTCCTGAGAGGGGTTGCATTTTTGAGCATCAGATCTGTAGGTTTGCTAAGATGATTTTGCGTGACAGGTGCAGCACTTCGTATGACCTGGCATCAATTTGTCATGGCAGGCGCAATACTATAGACAGGTGGATTGGAAAAATCGCAAGACGCATTGGTACGAGGCCGTCAGCGCTGCACTCAACTTTCCATTTTCGAAGGAAGTCTCCCAGAATTGCTTTGTTTTTGATGTTGTCAAATTCAAAAATTGAAGAAGTCTCGCAGAATTGCTTCGTTTAGGATGTTGTCAAGTTAAAAAATTGAGGAAGTCTCGCAGATTTGCTTCGTTTTTGATGTGGTCAACTTCGAAGAATGAGGAAGTCTCGCAGAATAGCTTGGTTTTCAAGCTGGCAGATAGACAGGTAGATAGACAGACAGAGAGAGAGATAGATAGATAGATGGATGGATAGATATATAGATAGATTAGATTAGATTAGATTAGACTAGATTAGATTAGATTACAGTAGATTAGATTAGATTAGATAGATAGGTAGACAGGTAGATAGGTAGATAGGTAGATGGGTAGATGGGTAGATAGCGTAGGAAATCCCATGCAAAATGGAAGGCGAACATGCCCAAATGTGGCCAATCCCATGCAAAATGGAAGGGGAACACGCCCACATGTAGCAAATTCCATGCAAAATGGAAGGTGAACATGCCAAAATGTGGCAAATACCATACAAAATGGAAGGTGAACACGCCCACATGCAGGAAATCTCATGCAAAATGGAAGGTGAACATGCCCAAATGTGGCAAATACCATGCATTACCATGCAAAATGACAAATTCAAGGCCCAAACCGTTGCAAACACTAGGCAAATTGTACCAGCCAGGAAATCCAAAAAAAAACAAACCTGCTCAAAAAAAAAACCTAAAACTATTTCACACCCAAAGTATATGGGTGAAACGGGTATGGGTGCAAAGTCTGAGGCTGCAAAGTTTGCGGGTGAAAGGTCTGTGGGTGAAAAGACTGCGTGCGAAAAGTGTATGGGTGAAAGCCTGTGAGTGAAAAGTATATGGTTGAACAGCCTTGGGTGAAAAGTATATGGGTGAGAAGTATATGGGTGAAAGACGGTGGGTGAAAAGTCTGTGGGTGAAAAGTATGTGGGTGACAAGTCTGTGGGTGAAAAGTATGTGGGTGAAAAGCCTATGGAAAAAGACTCGCTGGGTGAAGAGTCCCTGGGTGAAAAATATATAAGTGAAAAGTCTGTCGCTAAAAAGTCTGTGGGTGAAAGGTCTGCGGGTGATATGTCTGTGGGTGAAAAGTGCGGGTGAGAGGTGTATGGTTGAACAGTCCGTAGGTGAACAGTGTGTGGGTGAAAAGTCCGTGGGTCAAAAGTATATGGGTGAAACAGGTATACGGTATGGGTGAAAAGTCTGACTGTGCAAGGTCTGCGGGTTAAAAATCTGTGGGCGAAAAGTGTATGGGTGAAAGTCTGCGGGTGAAAAGTCTGCGGGTGAAAAGTCTGTGGGTGAAATGTCTATGGGTAAAAAGTCTGTGGGTGAAAAGTCTGTGTGTGAAAAGTGTATGGGCGAAAGCCTTTGGGTGAAAAGTATATGGTTGAACAGCCTTGGGTGAAAAGTATATGGGTGAAAAGCCTGTGGGTGAAAAGTCTGTGGGTGAAAAGTCCGTGGGTGACAAGCCTGTGGGTGAAAAGTCTCTGGGTGAAAAGTCTGTGCAAGAAGAATCTCTGGGTGAAGAGTCTCTGGGTGAAAAGTATGCGGGTGAAAAGCCTGTGGGTGAAAAGTATATGGGGGAAAAGTCTGTGGGCGAGAAGTGTATGGTTGAACCGTCTGTGGGTGAAAAGTATACGGGTGAGAAGTATGGGTGAAAGACTCCGGGTGAAAAGTCTATGGGTGAAAAGTCTGTGGGTGAAAAATCTTTTGGTGAAAATAGGGGTAGGTGGGATGCTGGCTTTCGTTTCCCCCCTTCTCAGGTTGTGGAGTAAATCATACCCACTTATTCATTAGCTAAACCGTTGTTAAACCCTTCCTTTCCGGTCAAGGTCTATGTAATCTTTATTATATACTTGTTTTGGCTCAAGATGGTGAAAAGGTCCGCAGCCGCTGCCCTCGGTGTGGTTCGGGCTTTTCTCAAGCTGTCTTTTGGGGTTGTTGGTTAATCAACATTTCAATTGGTTATCAGCTGTATCGGTCTCTTTGACTGTTGCTGTTGTGGTTGGTTCCTGTTTCCCCTCATCATTCATTTTTATGGTTGGCAGGCTCCCTAAAAGCCTGCGCATGGAAGACGGTCCTTACGAGGAGTTCGCCAGGGAACACGGTGAAGTACCTGGTTGGACCCGTGGGATTCGTTCTGGAAAGGCGGTGCGGAGGAAGCGCCAGGCGTATATTCGCCATCGTATAGAGGAAGGTGAGGACCCTGACCAGGTGGCGATTGTTCATCAGGATGGTCAGGCGAGACCTCTTCACACGCCAAGGACTTGGGGGCCGAACGCGGATTCTTCAGACGATGGTGTCGGGCTTGCGGGGTATCCAGAGCCTCGGAGGTCGCTCAGTGATTTGAGTTCGGTGCAGTTGGTCCCTCAGTCGGCGTTGTATCAGCCTGTGCGCACAGGTGGGCTGGTTCCCAAAGCCCGTGGTTTTTCAGATCCCTACGACAAGGGGAAAAGCAGAGCTGCGTCGGCATTTGCAAAGCCTAAGGCTAGTGCATCTGCTTCTTCGTCGGTGGTTTCTAAGGCGAAGCCTGTCTCTGCTCCATCTTCCTCATCACAGCCGCGAGTGATTACAATTGAAGACGGTTCGGTTGAGCCTGCATCAGCATCATCACCTCTGGTTGATCCGTATCGTTTTTCTGGACCTCAGTAGCACAAAGCATTCCCATTCCCTGGGCTTCCACCTGTGACAGAACCATTTGGATTTCGTAATACAGATTCTTACTCCAGCAAGACTCCATCCGAGTGTGAAAGCTTACCTTTGGTCGCAAGACCAGCCGTCTCTGGTGAAGGTTGAGGAGAACATTGGGAAGTTGCCGGGATCGGCAATCGTGCTGGAATGGCACCAGGTGCTGGACACCGATCGCATTACAAAGTGGCGTGCTGAGTGGATTGACGCTGACGGGCAGGTTCCTCACCGGCACAAGGCTACATCAACTGAGTTAAGCCACTTGTGCCAACTGTCTGAACGCCCGGTCCATCTTGTGATCTGCAGCCACATTGAGTCATCTTCTCGCAACTTGGAGAGTCTGATTCACATTACGGAGCAAAGTGGTCTGCCGGTACATCTAGTTTTTATTACAACTGAAAGGACAGGTCCTCAGGGGAAACTAGCGGCCATTCGTGCGGCAATCAGTGGGAAGTTTCATTTGTTCGACAACAAATTGGAAATCATTCAGGAGTTTTCGGAGGCCAGCAGGCCGATTGCACAAGTCCTTGCCAACGATTGATGATGCGTTGATTTCTGATAGATTTGATGTTTCCCCGTCACCATCCATCAGAGAGGAATTGTCCGATGAAGATGTTCCTCAATGCCCGCCGGACAACAATGATGAGCATGAGGAACCTCCCGACCGTTCGTCAGTTGCTGGTCTGTCAGTTGTTGCCGAAGTTGCTAATGATGCGTGTTCATTTTTGTCTCGTGAATGTGTCCAAGCCATTTTCAATGAATCATTGAATCAGGGGGGCGTGACTGGCAGCCTTGGCGCCACAGCCCATCCACAAGATGACACCACCAAAGATGCTCGGCAATTGAAGGGCCGGCATTCGTTGAAAGGTTCAAGAGTTCTTTTCGAATTTGCTTGTGATAAAGATTCCAACTTAGGAAATGTAGGGGCTGAGCATGGTCTTCAGGTAATTCGTTTGTGCAAAGAACACGTCAATCTAGAAGATCCGGCGAGCATTGAACAATTGATTGATCAAGCCAAAGCATTACCAGGTTGTTCGATGCATTGCTCCATTGAGTGTCGTCTTTGGTCACAGTGGCAAATCTGAACAAAGCCTAGAATCCTCGTTTGCATACCCGCACTGAAGAAGAAAGATTGGCGAGCGAAGCTCTGTTGTGTCAGTTCATCAGAGTTGCAGATGTTGTCTTGAACAAGGAGGCAATGCAAGTTTTGAGTGGCCTAGGTATTGCACCAGATGGTCGTTGGGTCCTTTACTTCACTGCATTGTACCTTGGAATTTGCACTCACGCACTTTCGATGGACGCACTGTTGGTGTGACAGCCAAGAACATGCCAGCTCGCAAGCCATGGAGATTCGTCACATCTTCTGCTCGTCTTGCAGGCCGACTTTCAAAGTTGAAGTGCGATCATCCGAAACATGATCATGTGCAAGGTAAGTGGGCTCGTTTGTCTGCATACTATCCCAGACCTCTATGTGTTTTAATGTTGGATTCTCTCTTTCCCCATGTTGTCAATCAGCATGTGCCATGCCTACCTTTTGAACTTCAAAAGATCCATTCACACCGTCCTAAAGCTGTTTCCGGTTTCCCACGCATGCCACTTGAAGAGGTCATGTATGAAGTTGGCTGCAAAGAAGTTGCGGTTGGAGTTTTTGTCCATCCAGTTCTGGATCGTAAGGAGTGGAAAGGACGACCGGAAGTTCAAGACGCCATTGATGCAGAGAAAAATAGACTTTTGCAGGAAGGTACGTGGTTGGAATCTGAAATTATTTCTTAGGAGGATGCATTGAAGCAGTTTGCTGGTTCCACGGTGCATTTTGGTTCCCTTATGGTAATCGTAAGCATAAAAGGGTATGAGAAACAGCCAGCCAGCCGATTAGAAAATCAAAGCCAGAATAGTTTTTCGTGGCGATGCCGTTCGCGATCAGGACGGTTTGTCGGCAGTGTTTCAAGAGCTCCATGCCAGTGCACCCAGTTTAATTGCAGGTCTCAACATTGTAATGGCCTATGCGATGTTAGAAGATCACTCTTGCACCACTTCGGATTGCATTCGTGCTTATACCCAATGTCCACTCAAATCAAAACATCCGACCTTTGTCTTGCTTCCACCGGAGTTAGTTCCGTTCGAAAAGCGCCATATTGTTCAACCGTGAGCCAGGCTTTATAAAGCTCTGTATCGTCATCCAGAGTCGAGCACACATTGGTCTTTGCATGTGGCCGGCCTTTTGAAGTTGAAGAGTTCCGGAACTGAATTTGAAAACATGCCATCGGTCTGGTGGTTTGAGGGTGGTCGCATGTTAATGTCAGTCTATGTCGATGATCTGACTTTGTCTGGAAAGAAGTCTTCTCATGCCTCTTTCTGGAAGGAGCTTCAGCAGTATGTGAACCTTGATCCTGCTACAGATTTTGGCCGTGTGCTAGGTCGCGACCATGTCCTTCAAGATGGGTCATTGGTGTTGGGCTCCAGCGACTTTGCTAAGCGATGCATCGCACTCAATCAAGAGCTTAGTGGAAAAAGCTCCAAAAGCCGCGAGATCGCCACATCTTGAAGATGGATCTCTTCTGGCTGAGGAGGATGCTGTTAAAGGCCAATTGTCTTCAGTTGCGGCGCGGCTGGTGATGAAATTCATGTGGCTAAGCCGTGCATCACAACCGGACATCACTTTTGCTGTAAACCTGTTAGCGAAGCACATCACTTGTTGGTCCTCCAATGACGACTGTCGAGTTGCTCGTTTGGTTGGCTATTTGTCTTCCACGATCAATCTTGCACATCATATGGTTGTTTTGGATCCTTTGAATGAGCTGAGCTGGATATTGCTCTTTACTGTGATGCAGATTTTGCTGGTGACAGCAATGACGCCAAGTCAGCTTCAGGCTTTGTCACAGCTCTTGAAGGTAAGTCACGCTTCGCCCTTTTGTCTTGGGGAGGCCACAAGCAAGGTGTTGTTTGCCGAAGCACGACAGAGTCAGATTTTGTGTCGTTGTCAGGGTCTTTGTTCGCTGAAGGGTTGCCGATTTTGAAATTGTGGCAAACCATCTACCCTTCCATGCTCCTAAGGATTTTGGAAGACAACAAAGCTGTTATCTCAATCATCGCCAAAGGTTTCTCACAGAAACTGCGGCGTCTTGCCAAGACGCATCGTGTTCATGTTGCTTCCAGCTGTAGGCCGTCAATCAAAACGACGACATCCAGATCACTCATGTTGGCACTGACAATCAGAGAAGTCCCATCATGACCACGGGGCTTTCTGTCCTGAAGTGGGGGCATGCCCTACAACTTGTTGAACATGAAAGGCACATGCTGCGTGGCAATTTAAGAGCATGATGGGCATGTCATTTGCATGGATGTGACTAAGTCCACCCTATAGCTTTATGATTTGCTTTCTTAAATCCTTGGGTTCTGCTAATCGCACAGTTTGTTGGCATAACTGAGTTTGCCTTCACACTTCCAAGGTTTTGCCTTTGTCACTTAGACTTTCACTGTTTTTTCTACCGTCACCCGCCAAGTTCTGGAGTTTAGCTGCTAAGACGCTTCTCCACTTGCATCCGGTTGGACTTCAAGCATCGGTAATTGACATGCATGGCACACTTTTGCATGGAATTGTCAGGCATGGTAGGTTTCTTAATGGAATAGAATGCATCAAATGAGCCGTCAGCTTTCATGTGGACTTAAGGGTTCATGGAAGCCCGTAGCGCGCAGGGCAACCATGTGTACAGAATCCGTAGGGACCTTTGATCACAGTACAGTTCATGGTTAGGGGGACGTGAATATTGTGGAGTAAATCATACTCACTTATTCAGTAGTTAAACTGTTGTTAAACCCTTCCATTCCGGCCAAGGTCTATGTAATCTTTATTATATAGTTGTTTTGGCTCAAGATGGTGAAAAGGTCCGCAGCCGCTGCCCTCGGTGTGGTTCGGGCTTTTCTGACACTGTTCTTTTGGGGTTGTTGGTTTTCCAATATGTCAATTGCAAAGGCTAGTAAATGGTTCATTGCTACGGTTGTAACATGGGATAATCCGGTTACGTATGGAGCACAACCATAAATAACCAATTGCAGTCAGTCAATGTCAGGCACATCAGTATTGTAGGTATTGAATGGTATTGATATAGGCTATATTAGGCAATTCTCCGGTTTCTCACAGGATGCACATCCTTTTGCTGAGGCCCGTGCTGACGCCCTAGAAATCCCAAGGGAGACTGCAGAGGACGCAGTTGCTGCGAAAGAGTTGGTTCCTTCTGGTCACATCCCTAGGCGTTAACGATGTTAGTTGTTTGATGTTGGTTGGAATTATAGAAATATCATCTATTTTTTACATACCCATGTTTGCACGCGCCAAAGTTCCACTGCATGATGTAGTTATATATATATATGTGTGTGTGTGTGTCGTGTGTGTGGGTGTTTGTGTGTGTGTACGTACATGTACATTTGCATATACCAAATGGTGCCCGGCACTCGCTACAGTCTCGTGCGCGTTTTTCCGCCAACTTTGGCAGTTCGAGGGGCGAAACCGCAGAAACAGAGATCCTCCTATTTCGGCCATGCCGGAAGCCCCCGGAGTGTTTTCGCCCATGAATTCACGCGTTCCCGAACAGTTACTCTCCTCTACTGCACCCACACGCGCTTGATCATGGCATGATGTTGACATGATGATGACATGATGGCAAGCCCCTGGACATTCGTCCATAACTCGGAAATTTTCTAACTGAACCTCTTTTGATAACTATACATATATGGTCTATACATATATATATATATACATATGATCATATATGATAATACTGCATGCAAACGCGCAGGAAGAAGGTGTGCATGCATACTTGGTGTTCGAAACTGCAATTCCTTCCGCTCGTACCGCCAGGTATTTATCCAGGCCTGCACCTAGGATAGCTCCGCCATGTTCCACCATGTTCCTCATGTCAGTCTCGGGAAGACAGGTGAACGGACAATTCTGGGATGACAAGAATATGACAAGGTTTGGCAGATGTCTGAACCTTTCAAAGGCAAGGTTTTCAGAGGCTGCAAGTGGCTCTCCATCTTGTGTGTTTCCCTATCCTGTGCAAGGATTTTGCGTTAGTTCGCTTGGCATGCCTGGCACGGGTGCAAGATCCCAAATCCTATGTCCACCTTCGCTCGGCTTGGGACGGTCTAGGCATTCCAGCGGCATCATCCGGGGAGGGCGTTTGATCATTTCTATATGTTATGCCATAGTGCTCCACGTCGTTTCACCTAAAGTCATGACAATTCAAAGCTATGCTTGAAGATGGGTGTAAAGATGTGTCCATCCAATGCATCTAACGTGGCCAAATCTTCCTGATCCTGCCCATGTTAAGCCCAGGTATTCGTGAAAGAGACCTTCTGATGGACCACTTCCTTGCGGATGGAATGGATCAACGCGCCTATGTTTTGGAGTTCCTCCCTGCCTGTGTGCAAATCTCAGCTTAGTAGGACTTAGTAAGCCTCACTAGCCAGTCATTGATAGTCATTGTGCCCCCTGAGCTCTGAAAACCATTGCCATATATTGCCATGCACCATTCAAAAAATGAAACAAGATGAAAAAGAACACACGAAATTCCTAATACAAAGATCAACCCTTGCAAGGTGCCTGAAAGATTCTGAAAGCGTACGATCACTTTCGATGAATTGCGCAATAGCTGAGGTGCAAAACGCACAGCAAAACAAAGTTATTGGTTTGAGCCTCCTGCTTGAGGCTGGGTGATCCGATGAACATACATTAGCACACATCCACGTCGCAGATATTTGTCGCAAATGACAGGACAAAGTTCTGGCCTGCTTTATCCCCCATGTCTTCTGTATGTCTTCTGTATATACACGATTGGCCCCTTCCTGGCCTGTCCTCCGCTATGTTCAGGTTCTTAGTCGTTGATCAGTTAGTTACTTCCTTTATCAGGAATTGCCATATACAACCATACGGTAGGGCTGGTGCATCAAGCTCTTGGGTCTATCCGTGAATTGACACCAGGTGTTGGTGGATATCATTTGCAATCTGCATCCAGCTGTTGCTTCATCACCAGCGGGAGAAGATGCAAAGATCGTGCCCTGCAACCTCTCAGATCTAGCTGAGTTTGTGCCTTGGCTGGACACGGTCGGCATCAGTTCCCTCCTGATGGACAACTTCGCTCACCACACGTGCAACAGCGTGCAACTCCTTTTGAGACTCACTTTGCCAGCGTACCCAACAATCCTTGTGGATGTTGTGGATGTGGTGCAATTATGATTTGTGTAATATTTGTGTATTGTGCCCAGGTTCAAGTGGTGAAGAATCGCTTTATTTTCCGCACGTGTATATCAAGAGCTCGGTCTCTTGGCGCCGAGTCGGTCGAGTAGCCAGTACTTGGATCGGTAGGCCATCGGATGTCTCAGCGCAGTGAACTCTAAGAAACCACTTCGCCAGCTGGGCAATTTGAGGTGTAAAGCTAAGAGGTTGATGATGGATGGTGATGGTTGGTGCCTGAAATGTTGCAGTTTGCCATTCCAAGGCTTCGGTGGCTGGGTGATCGCTTGACATTGGAGATGACAGGTGCGGTCCTGGGGCCGCCTAGTGGCTTCTAGATGTTTTTTTTCGGTGACTTTCGGAGCTTGTTGAAAGCCAATACGCATAATTAATCATGACTATACTAGACTATACATATTAAGTTTGCATATTATATGATAACATATATATATATATACACACATAATCAATCATAATCATACATATGACTAGGGAATTATGTTTCTATATGCATATTTGCATGTGCCTATACGTACGTCCCCCCCACTCCGCGCAAACATGTTTTTTTTAATACTGGCAGGCCAGCATGCCATGATCCCAGGTGGCAACTGGGCTCGTTTGAACGAAGCGGACTCGGATACAACTGCGCTGGCAAACACCATTAAGGAGTGTTTTTCCAAGGGCAGGGTCGGGTGTTCCTGGTGGCTTTCGCCGGAATACCAATACCTTTGATTGATACAAGGTTGGTGATGCTGATACAAGTAGATACCCGGGACCAGTTGCAGATGTAGAAGGCTGAAGTGCTTGAAATTGATGGACATGATGGACTCTTCGACTCACCCGATAGCTCCATCCATGGGACACAGTTTTTGGATGATTTTGGATGATTTTGGTGCCTGACACATCTCGAGAAGCCACCTCCCCAGGAGATCTCCGACCGGCAGCAACTTGACGAGATCCAAACAATCATACCATATCATACCAACATATCCATACAAATACATTACAAATACCAACACCATCCCACAATCCTACTGTAGACTTTCGGCAAAGAATCACGTTCGATCACGTTTGATGAAGGTGGCAGAGGCCCCTCTGCACAGTGATACAACAACCACTGAAATACATGGAACATGGTGGAACTAGCTTGTTTTGGTGAACTTAGACCATGGACCAACCCAATGCAGCAAGGGCATATTGCTTGTGAATATGCTTTCGGCTGTGGAGATGGGATTTGCCATGATTTGCCCTTGAGAAATGTTGAGCCTTTCAGAGGCTGTCGCCCTCCCCTTAAAACTTTTTTGGCTGTGCTCACAGATCGTCCAAGCGCAGAGCCTGAGGCGAGAGTTAGAAAGTCGCTTGCACAGAAATGAGGGGCCGTACAAGCTCCAACGAGTCATTTGCTGATGCACTTCGGCAGTGCAGCGCAACTCTTTGCACAGCCTCGCAGATGCACAGCAATGTGCAGAATGCATTCTCGGAAAAAGGGAGCTAGCAGCAATCGCAGTTTCAGAGTCAAAAATCCCGCATTCCTATCACTATCCGAGGAAAAAGTCATTGGGTCAGTCTAATGATGGCAGCCGTGCAGCGGCTGACTGCCAGCCGTCAACTGGCCGGCTGCGAGACCATGTCCACCGAATCCACGGCTGATCAGAAAGTCAAAGCAGCTTCTGATGGACCAAAATCGCGGCAGGAAATCCGATTGATATGGGTGTCTTTCAAGACAATTGGTTGAATCATGGTGACTTCGCAACTCAAACAGCTGATTTCTGCACATGAATTTTGATCAGACTTGAGCCAAGAGCAAGACAGGCCGTTTCCTGTGAATTCATTTATCCATGCCTGGAACATGGACTTTAAAGTGGAAGTTTGAAGCGATTGGAGGGGGTTTCCTTTGGCGTAGCCAGTACTGAGCCTCAGATTTTGGTCAGGAAGGCAATGCAAATGCTTGCCTTTTCAGCCATTGGGGGTCGGCACTGTGTAATTCACAAAGTGTCTGGGTGGAGCCGGCTGATGTCACAGAAGACACATGGCTCGCTTCTTTCTGCCCTGACAACATTTGCTACATGTTGTTTCTGTCCAAGAAGTAGGTGCCTTTAGCGCCTTTAGTACCCAGTACATTTTGCGACAGCTGATTTTAGGATTTTGTGGGCCTGAATGGGTTAGCTTATTTATGTTGCCTTTCACCCATGCTCGTGACTACTTGTGTTTGTGTAGCATTGTATGCCGAAGCACCCAATCACACATTTGGGGCCAAGGATCACTGCAGTCATACAAGTATCCCGTCAGGATGTGGCCGCCACGCGGCATATGAAAATGATGAAGTCTATCGCAGAAAAAATGCAGACATTTGCTGTGTGCATGATTATCTGTGTATGTGTGACTATGTGTGCATGTATATCCAAGAAAAGGAATGGGCATGTTCATACGTACGTATGTACGTGCGTCCATGCATGCAATACATTAGTCACGTCGCGTGACATCACATCACATCACACCACATATCATCACATCACGTTGCATTACATTGCATTACGTGTGTGTTTGTGCGTTTTTGGGCTGGGGGAGCTGTACTGCACTTATACCCAACTCACATCAATGCACGGATTTTAGAGACATTTGATGTGACATGCATATGCATACCTGTGTGTGTGTGTATGTATGTAGTTTAAATGTAAATGGCAATGTCAGTGCAAATGTACATGTATAGTACCTGCAGATGACATGGGAGTTGTCGGACATACTCAAAAAACGCAAACTCCCATGTCATCTGCAAAGTGAAAAAAACAGAAAAATGCATAAGTCCCGTGTCATCTGTAAAGTGCCTCGGAAAAAAAAATCACATGACATGGGACCTCCGCATCCAAAAAGATGCAAAACATGTCATGTCAACTAACTCACACACTGTACATTTCACATCCCACATGAACAAAGATAGTATATTAGTGCATGACTACCTACTAGCAGCTGGAATAATCCAAAATAATACGTCAGCAGTTAGAATATTCCAAAGTCACGTGAATCCATTCACCTCCTTGTTCTATTTAGCAACTATTTAGCAACTATTTAGCAGCTATTCAGAAGCTATTTAGCAGCTCTTTAGCATTTATTCAGCAGCTATTTCTAAGCTATTTAGAAGCCATTGATCAATTATTCAGCAACTATTTGGAAGCTATTTTCCAACTATTTAGCAGCTATTTAGCAGGTATTCAGCAACTATTTAGCAGCTATTTTACAGCTATTGAGCAGCTATTTAGCAGCTACTTAGCAGCTATTTAGCAGCTATTTAGCACCTATTTAGTAGTTATTCAACAACTATTTAGCAGCTATTTAGAAGCTATTGAGCAGCAGCTACTTAGCAGCTATTTAGCAGCTACTTAGCAGCTATTTAGCAGCTATTTCGAAGCTATTTAGCAGCTATTTAGCAGCTATTTCGAAGCTATTTAGAAGCCATTTATCAATTATTCAGCAACTATTTGGAAGCCATTTATCAATTATTCAGCAACTATTTGGAAACTATTTTGCAACTATTTAGCAGCTATTTAGCAGCTATTGAGCAGCTATTTAGCAGCTACTTAGCAGCAATTTAGCAGCTATTTAGCAACTATTTAGTAGTTATTCAACAACTATTTACAGCGATTTAGCAGCTATTGAGCAACTATTTAGCAGCTACTTAGCAGCTATTTTGCAGCTACTTAGCAGCTATTTCGAAGCTATTCAGCAACTATTTGGAAAGCGGAGCTGAGGAATTTAAAGAGATTTTAAGGAATTTAAAGGAATTTTAAAGAATTTAAAGGAATGTAAAAGAATTTAAAGGAATTTAAATGTATTTTAAAGAATTTCAGGAATTGGAAGTCCCATGTAACGTGGTAAATACATCTTTTAAGGAATTTAAAGGAATTTAAAGGAATTTAAGGGAATTTTTAAGGAATTTAAAATGAATTTCAAAGAATTTAGAGGAATTTAAAAGAATTTAAAGGAATAGGAAGTACCATGTCATGTGGTAAATTCGTCCTTTAAGGAATTTAAAGGAATTTAAGGGATTTTAAGGGAATTTCAAGGAATTGGAAGTCCCATGTCATGTGGTAAATTCATCGTTCAAGGAATTTAAAGGAATTTAAGGGAATTTTAAGGAATTAAGGAATTGGAAGTCCCATGTCATGTGGTAAATTCGTCCTTTAAGGAATTTAAAGGAATTTAAGGGAATTTTAAGGACTTAAGGAATTGGAAGTCCCATGTAATGTTGTAAATTCGTCTTTTAAGGAATTTAAAGGGACTTTAATGAATTTAAATGAATTTTTAAGGAATTTGAAAGAATTTAAAGGGATTAGAAGTACCATGTCATGTGGTAAATTCGTCTTTTAAGGAATTTAAGGGAATTTTCAGGAATTAAGGAATTGGAAGTCCCATGTCATGTGGTAAATTCGTCTTTTAAGGAATTTAAAGGGATTCAAAGGAATTTAAAAGAATTTTAGGGAATTTTAAGTATTTAAAAGAATTTGAAGGAATGTAAATGAGTTTAAAGGAATTTAAAGGAAATCAAAAGAATTTAAAGGAAATTTAAATAATTTCAAGGAATTGGAAGACCCAGTCATGTATCTTTCAAGGAATTTAAAGGAATTTAATGGACTTCCAAGGAATTTAAAGGAATATCAAAGAATTTAAAGGAATTAAACAGAATTTCAAGGAATTTTAAGGAACTGGAAGTCCCATGTCATGTGGTAAATAAATTCGGATTTTAAGGAATTTAAAGGAATTTAAGGGAATTTTAAGGAATTTAAAGGGGTTGGAAGTCCCATGTCATGTGGTAAATTCGTCTTTTAAGGAATTTTTAGGATTTTAAAGGAATTTGAATGAATGTAAAGCAATTTTCAAGAATTTTAAGGAATATAAAGGAATTTAAAGGACTTTTAAGGATTTTTAAGGAATTTAAAAGAGTTTACAAGATTTTAGAGGAATTTAAAGGAATTTACCTGCCATTTCCCATCTTGGACGTCTGTGTCTTCCTGGAAGTCCCATGTCATGTGTAAATTTGATCACTTATTCCCATGTCATCTGTAAATAAAATGGAAAAATACCTGCCCGTTAGGTCGGCGCAGAACTCCCATGTCATGTGTTAAAAAAAATCCACAGCAAAATCGATACATAAATCCCATGTCATGTGCCAAAAAACATCGGCTAAATTGGCCGCAAAGTCCCGTGTCATCTGCGCCTAGTATAAAGCAATGTAATGTAAATGTTAATATTAATGTTAATATAATGCATGCATGAATGTATGTGTATGTGTATTAGTATGTGAGTGTGTATGTGCATGTGTGTATGTGTGTGTGTGTCTGTATGTGCATAGCTACATAGAATCGTTACAAGAATACGTGAACACATAGATACACAGATACCTAGATATGCCTAGATACATACTATGGCATGGAAGAAATCCTGCACCACCTTGTATGGTTGAAACCCTATAAATATATAATGGGATAAAGCGATGGAGAGAGAGATATATCAACTGGTGCAAGATTTCTTCCATCCACAGTATGTATGGATGCTGTGTGCATGTGGGGAGGTGCGATGTGCGTCGTGCACCCTAAACCACAAGCCACTTGTTTGGACTCCGTTTGGAGGGCCTTTTCTGCAGAACAGTCACAGATCCTTTCGTTTCTATCCACTGCTCCTTAGGTCCTTTCCCGTACATGGTTGCATCCTTCCAATCCACAAGTTGCAGGGACATGCAGGGACAGCGAACCATGGAACAACGAACAACGATTTGCTTTGTCTCACTTCAGATTTCAGGATGAAACCGTGAAGAAGCTGCCATAGAATTGAGAAAGTTTATGTTCACGGGCACACTTGAGTGCATAGCACTTCCCAATTTGGATAGGAGTGATGAACACCAGGCAGAGATGACAGTGCAGCTTCTTGGGGTCATCCAAGATTTCTTAATCGATTTTTTTCGGGTTGTTTCTTCGCGAAAAGCCCAATCAGGGTTGGCTCGTTGCCTGTGGATCCTGTGGTAAGTGGAGAATGTTGCAGCTGTTAGTTGTCCTGCGTTGTCGAGGGCCCCTGTCGTGAAGACTGCTCGGCAAGTGAGCGTATGTCAAAGACAAAAGCTCGGAAACCTTTCAAACTGGAGCAAACTGGCGACGAAGAAAAGGAGCCTCCGGCAGGAGTTGCTGACGCAACAGGAACCCTGATGTCATCTGATGTCCAACAAATGGAGCTGTTGTGTTCCGAGCATGCCCATAGAACGCCCCGCTACTGCTGCTAATTTGTGTCCCAGAATTGGATGAATGGAAAGCTTGCAGGAAACCTGAATTTTGAACGACAAGAACCAAGTTTTCCTGTAATGTGTATTAATTTGTTCCATGTGTTCCCTTAAACCCTTTCACAGTGTGGATGACTATGAT